GGGCAGCTCACTGCTTGAGTCCAGTTGGGTATTGGTCAGCGGGTGGTGAGCAATTGCATTGTGCATCGAGTTTATTTTTTTCTTTCCCTTTTTAGTTTTATATTCTCTCCCCTTGCTATTTCCATTATGATTATTATTATTATACTTTAATTACTGGACTGCTCTTATCTCAACCTGTAGAGTTTACATTCTTTCAATTCTCCTCCCCATTCTGCCCGGAGGAGGGGAGAAGGAGAGTGAGCAAATGGCTGTGTGGTTCTGCGTTACCAGCTGGGTAAACCACAACTGTCCTGCATCATGGTCACACCATCAATAAGAACAGAGTGCAAAAGCACAGAAGGATGAAGAAGGTGTCCTGCTGTTAACGAAAGCTTACTGCTGATGTAAACTGAAAGTGCATTTGGCACTTTCCACAAGATCCTGTGTGTATCACAGCAGTATTTATGTTGCTCCTTAAGAAAGCATGACCTTGCACATGGAACAATTAAATATGTAGAGCATTATGCTGTGGGTTATTCTACACCAATCAGCAGATGGTTGGACATGATAAATAACACAATACTGTACTTCAAAGCTGAGGCTCTAGCTTCTGGATATCTGGAAGCAGAGAAGGGAAAGTGTGGCTGAGGCTGTGGAAAGACAGTGGTTTTGATTCAGTATTTTACAATCATGTTTTTTTTCTAGTATAGTAGTGAAAGACCATAGTGGGACAACAGGTTAGAGTAGTCCTGGATGGTGATGGCTGAAGAATACCACCCCCTTGGAGGGAACACAATACAGGATACCTTTCCACATGAATATGGCAGGCAAAGCACTGGTCAGGATCCACAGCCAGCACAGACACAGCCTGTATTTACACCAGGGATGGGGTTATTTACCAGCACGTCTCATTGCCTACTGACTGCCCCCCGGCAAGGGATTAGGTACGATATGTCTGAGAAATGAAACTGCAGATACTTCTGAGCTCAGTTGCATATTGTTTTCTCCTTGGAATTAAGTAAACATCTTGTTTGTTGAGCCCAAGCAGAAACTGTTTTCACTGACTCTTCTGTTCTAAAACTGAGGTGAACTCATTAGTGTAGCGGTGTAACTGGGGATGAAGGAGAACATGAAGCAGAGATTCGAGTATGTGAGCACCAAGGGCCATCACCCAGCAGTGCTGTCGTAGTTGTGTGTTGTACAAAGATGAGCAAACATGGAGTCCTACAGGAGCAAACGTGTCAGAGAAAAAATACTTTGAAGAATTACAACTGAATGATGACCTAGAGGTGACTGCACTGAGATTAGAATCACAGAATTGTTAGGGTTGGAAAGGACCTTAAGGTCATCTAGTTCCAACCCCCCTGCCATGGGCAGGGACACCTCACACTAAACTATGTCACCCAAGGCTCTGTCCAACCTGCCCTTGAACACCACCAGGGATGGAGCATTCACAGCTTCCCTGGGCAACCCATTCCAGCGCCTCAGGAAAATAATTTCTTCCTTATATCCAATCTGAACTTCCCCTGTTTAAGTTTTAACCTGTTACCCCTTGTCTGTTAACTACAGTCCCTAATGAATAGTCTAACAAGAGAGATTGTTTTACAATGTAACTGGAAAGTTAACTGAAAACAGAAGGCTTAAGTGCTAATTGCTCAACAAGGAACTCTTCCCAGGTTTCAGCTACCTATACCTTTTAGGAACTGGAATATGTACATGCATGAAGTAAAGCTCTGAAAAACTTGTTTCTAAGCCCACAATTAGCAGGCTCTTTGTCAGATAATGAGCTTAGATCCTTTTTTGTGAATGTTCTTTGTCCTCTTGAAGTGTTACTCTGTTTCCTGCTCCTTTGTTTTGCATTTCACACCATCTTCTCCCATCTTCTGTACACAGACTTGGAAAAGCCTGGAAGATTTATCAATTTTTATCACAGACATCCACTTCCTTATTGAGTTGTGTAAGGTGCTCAGTGCAAAAGGTTACAATATGATTAAATGGAAGGGAACCACTATCTGGTGGAAAAACAGATTTAAATTTAAACATTGCTTTAATTCATGTCTGTACATATAGCAAAGGAAGTGGCTCCTGTGGCTGTGAGTGCTGTGGTTGGAAGAACCCCAGCTTCTGTTGGTGCTTCCCAAGGACCTTGCCCATGAGTCTGGGCTGAACAATTCCCTTCGCTACTCTCTGGTTGTCCCATCTACAAACCTGAGTGAAGACGCCTTCTTTGACATGGACTAAATAAGCTGATAAAAATGCCTTCTGTGATCATCATTTCAAGCGTGAAGTAATGGTTTAAATAAACAAACAGACCATCCCGAGCTGCCAGACCTCCCCGCCGGCCAAGGCACACCGGCGGGCAGCGCAACGGCTCCGCCGGCTCCTGAAGGGGCCCCGTCAGAGGCGCCGCGGCCCCTCGGGACGACAGGGCCGCCGCCCTCGGATCACCTCAGCGCACCGCCTCCCGCGCTGACTCAGCGTTGCAGCGCCGCAAGGCCGCGCCGACCAACCGCCGCCGCGCGGGGCCCAACCGGCTGCCTGCCCCGGTGGTGCGCGGGGAGGTGGTGGCGGCGGCGCTGCCCGCCCCCCTCGGCCGTCGGTAGGCTGGGGCCGACCGGCCCGCGGGGAGCTACGGTACTCCCATCTGCCCGCCGCGCTCTTCACCACCACTGCCTTACCCCGGCGGGAGGTGGATCAGGCAGCGACCGCCCTCTGCTTCCAGCCCCGCCGGGCGCTGCGGTCCCTCCTCCGGGGCGGCACCACCGGGCGGCCGGGTGAGTCCCCGTCGCCGCGGCGGACGGCGAACGGGAAGGCGACGGCGAGCAGGGCTTGCTTGAAGCGGGGAGAGGCAGAGGTGGGTGCCGCCGGTGCGTGCGGGGAGAGGGCGGCCCTTCCTCCCGCACTCTGATTGCTCCCTGGCGCTGAGCTGAGCGAAAGCCAGGCTTGCCCCGCCGGGCGCTGAGCCGCTGGAGGAAGCGGGTCCATGGGCATCCCGCCGGCCGTGGCTGGGCTGCGGGGCCTGTCCCCAGCACCTGCTTTATCCTTGCCGAGGAGGCTGGCTTTTGGGAGTGAGAGTGAGCTCTGGAGCTGACGGGTTCATCTGGGGTTGACAGTGCTTTTTGTAGGTTGTTGGAGGAGAAATCTGATGCTTTCCTGGTTTATCGTCCGAGGGAGGTACCGAGCGCTGGGCAGCTGTAGGTAGTGTCCGTGAGGGGTCCCTTCGCTGCCGAACTGTGTGAGATGGTGAAGTCCAGTGACTCTCCGAGCGCTGTTTCCCCTTTGTATGTTAGAGGTGGTATTTTGCCTCCCTTTGGCTGACAACTGCTTATGCAAGTTGCTGCATGAGTACCACTGCTTCGCCTTTCTCAGATGGTAATGAAAGTGGTAGTAGACCAGAGGGATTTAATGGCATAACAAAGCCTGGCTGGCAGTAGGGCAATTGCTCAATGCCAAACAAAGCTTTTAGTTAATTTGGGTTTCTTTTATGGGATTCTCTTAAACATCTGTTTTTATTTTGATTAGACTATCTCCTCTACCTTCAAGAAAAGAAAGTAAAAGAGAATGTATCTTCTGGAGAGTGTGAAGAAGACAGAACTGTGCAATATTTGTGTTATCTCTGTCAAAAAAAGGAATCCGTGTAGTGGCCTGTACTAACAACAGGATCTCAGCATTGTTGTTGCAGATGTAGTCTTTGACCTCAACAGATCTATTGACCTCTGTTTTGTTTCATGGTCTGGAGGATGTTTTACAGTGATTTATTTTATTTTCTGTGTGGCTTTTTCAATGTGTCTGCTGCCTTAGGGAACAAATGCAGGCAAATGTTTAGCATACACAGCCTAGTTAGAAGTCAGATGGATATACTTATATTACTGTAAAATGAACCTAATTCTAGGAAAAGAACTGAAGAAAAAGCAGGGAGACAGTGAAGGAGATAATACGGGAAAGACTCAACATCATTATGCATGGCATAAAGCCATGAAAATAGCTTCTGGTTGCTTTAGATAGTTTCTGCTTTTCTGACAGCCCCAGTTCACTAGTGTGGAATATAGACTACCTGATAATATCTGCTTACCAGACTTGGTGGGTTCTGTTTGTAAGGCAGATAAGCAAGTTTTAGTCTTTGGCCCTTTTCCGTACCTGAGGATGTGCAGGTGCACACATTTGTTTATCTGTGAACACACGTAACACACAGCAAATATAAAAACCAGTTGCAGTACAGTAAGAGCTTACTTTACACTGTGAGAATGGAGAAAATATAAAGTTACAGCTTAATAAACAAATTTGCTTTCTGATCCCAGTGAAGGCAAGTTTGCCAAGTCACATGAGGTATCAGCATAGAGCAATAGCTGTGCTTCCACTATAATTTATGTTTTCTCTGACATCATAACAGTAGCATAGGGCAGCACAGTACATGATCTACCATATATTCTCCACTTAATTCAAATGTTTTTCAATTTCAGACATCAGTTTGTACTTTTCAATTTGTACTTTTCAGTTTGTTGTAAAGTTTGATGCTGTTTATGCAGCAGTGGTCTGAAGGGGTGTCAGCCCCTGTGTACATTGCCTCCAAGTGTCTCTGTGAGGAGGAGAGCGCTGTACAGTTGGGAAGCTAAGGCACAGAGAGATCAAGGGAAATGTGGAAGGACATATCTGGGAATGTGTCTTGGGTTCCCCAGGACACCTTTGAGAATGTCAGAGACAAGTCTTGAGCCATGATTTCAAGATTGCCTGAAATACCAGAAGAGATGTCCGTGATGCCTCTTTCTCAGCTGTCTGTGCTGACTCTTTCTCAGCTTCTCTCTTTAGTTGATACTAACAATTGTGTGGGTATGTGGTGAGTCAGATCATCCCGTTGATCCAGCTGGAAATTATTTTTGTATGGCTTTAGTGGTATTAGTTTTCACTTCTGACACCAGGGCAAGACTGGGGAGAGCTGGAAATATATGGTTGGGAGGTTGGTAGAGGGACCATGGTTGTACACTCTAGCTGGCCATGAAATAATTCTCTTGGTCTCTTTTCAGTGTCAGTCCAATACCTTGACTGTGGGACTGAAGGCTAGTCCTCTGTTTGAACATGAAGATTCATTACATGCAGGTTTTGAGTCTTCAGATTGAGTTTTTGCTTTCAGCTGCTTTCAAGAAAATACTCCATCTGTAACAGGCAGAATACAGGGACTTTATGAAGTGTTGGACCAGGTAATGTTTCAACTATTTGAAAGGCAGTCCAATACCAGAACCAAGTGAATAGTCATCTCATGGTCAAAGTCCATATCTGTGAGTAAGTGTGAGTGAGTGAGTTCTGGGAGGGACTGGCAGCTTGGAAGATAAGTTTGACATTTGATCCATATGGCTCACTGGCCATTTTAAGAAGTCACAGTTTTTGGCACTGGCCTTGGCTAACTTGGAATAGGAGTCAAATAGTTCCTAATAGAATTAAGCCCAGAATAATCCCAGCCTGAAAGTATTTCTGAAGATTTGGCTGGCAGGAAGCAAAATACTCTTAACTCTGGTGTTGAGCCACCCACATGCTGCATGTTCCTTTCTGATCTGGGATGTACAAGTGAATTCTACTTATCTCCTGATTGGCCAGATGTATTGTCAAATCACCTCCAGGAATGTGTCTGTCACATGCCACTGTGACTGTGTGGAAGTCTGGCAAAAACATGGTCATAGAATAATAGAATAGTTAGGGTTGGAAAGGACTTTAAGATCATTCAGTTCCAACTCCCCTGCCATGGGCAGGGACACCTCCCACTAAACCATGTCTCTGTCCAGCCTGGCCTTGAACACCGCCACGGATGGAGCATACTTAGGTTTAGACATAGTTTACCCTCCTATTTACAGATCAGCCGCAGTCACGCTGCTCAGCAGAATGCTCTGGAGTTCTGCCTCAACAAACTGTCCAAATCAGGGTCATGTCTGCCTATGATTCCAGGTCACGTGGCCAGGTTTCCTTTCCCAGAAAAAAAGAATATGCAAGGAGCTTGCTTGTCTGTGTCTTACTCTGATGAGCTTGGCACGCTGCAGTTGAGCTGTAGCCACAGTGATAGACCCTGCCTGAAATCAATGGGAATGATACATCCTCTGAAATCTAAGCCTTAGTAACTTGCCCAAGACTGTGTGGGAATCTTGTAGATAAGTAGGGAGTTGGGCAGTAAAAAAATGGGCCATGAAGAGTATAATTGCTACCTTTTTCACTGGAATTAGGACATAGTCTGGTGTACCTGTATGAAAGATGTGGATTATCTATATGACAGAGCATTTGATATTACTGTGGTATCCAGTAGAGCGGGACTACAAAGAATTAACTTTGTCAAGTCAATCTTTGCTAAGTTAATAAATCAGTTAAGTAGTGGGAACACCTAACTATCAATTTTTCATGTATTATTTATTTATTAATTAATTTATTTAGTTTTCATTTGTTATTTCATTTAAACTTTTCTATGAGATGATCAATTCTGAAAAATGACTGCTGTCTCTAACAATCAGAGGAGTTGGAAATTTTCTGAGGCTCCTGGCAGGTGCTGCTACTTAATTTGAAGGTAAAAATTGCACTAGAAAATACTTTTAATTTCATTATAGATGCATAAAGTAAAGCTGTGGAGTGTCTCCTAGCAAAGGAAAGAAGTCAAGCCATTTGAAAATCCTGACAGGAGCAGTACAGACTGTTCCTGTTTGCTGCAAGCTTAGATCAAAAGAGTTCTGAATTTTCCCAGCAGCAAAAAATACTATATGCTATGTCTACGAGCATGGTATGCGAACAAGACTTTCACTAAATTCAGTATAATTAGCAGGCAGGCACTGAGTGTTTAACCTGTGACGTAAACTCATATTTACTGCTGAAGTTGCTGCTGCCTGGTTAGTAAGTGAAAGACTTCTTGGAGTGGCTGGAATAAACTGCCACATGCAAAATCACATGCAGTCTCTCTGCGGTTTGAAGAATGTTGATTTCCTGGAGTACTGGCATAGAATGGACTGACTTTAGGTTCGGAGTGTGAGCTTACAAACCTCAAACTCTAAACAACCTCAGCTTTAGTTGGAATTTATAAAAGTTAGGATAAAGGGCCTACATCCATCAGAGTCCAGTTTGTGAACTCTCCCCTGTTTTAACTACAGTGTCTTTTGTTCCCTATATTTGAAATATAAAACCATCTTTAGTTTCCTCAGGAAGTGGAGTATATAGACTCATAGACTCATAGGACAGTTAAGGTTGGAAAGGACCTTAAGGTCATCTAGTTCCAACCCCCCTGCCATGGGCAGGGACACCTCACGCTAAACTGTGTCACCCAAAGCTCTGTCCAGCCTGGCCTTGAACACTGCCAGGGATGGAGCATTCACAACTTCCTTGGGCAACCCATTCCAGTGCCTCACCCCCCTAACAGTAAAGAATTTCCTCCTTATATCCAATCTAAACTTCCCCTGTTTACTCCTTGTCCTGTCACTACAGTCCCTAATGAAGAGACCCTCCCCAAAATCCTTGCAGGCCCCCTTCAGATACTGGAAGGCTTCTCTTCTCCAGGCTGAACAGCCCCAACTTTCTCAGCCTGTCTTCATACGGGAGGTGCTCCAGTCCCCTGATCATCCTCGTGGCCCTTCTCTGGACTTGTTCCAACAGTTCCATGTCCTTTTTATGTTGAGGACAGCAGAACTGCACACAATACTCCAGGTGAGGTCTCACGAGAGCAGAGTAGAGGGGCAGGATCACCTCCTTCGACCTGGTGGTCATGCTCCTTTTGATGCAGCCCAGGATACGGTTGGCTTTTTGGGCTGCAAGCTCACACTGAAGCCAGCTCATGTTACGTTCTTTGTCAATCAACACCCCTAAGTCCTTCTCTGCAGGGCTGCTCTGAATCTGCCCAACCTGTAGCTGCGCCTGGGATTGCCCCGACCCAGGTATAAGAACTTGCACTTGGCATGGTTAAACTTCGTAAGGTTGACATCAGCCCACCTCACAAGCATGTCGAGGTCCCTCTGGATGGCATTCCTTTCCTCCAGCCTGTCAACGGAACCACACAGCTTGGTGTCATTGGCAAACTTGCTGAGGGCACACTCAATCCCACTGTCCATGTCACCGACAAAGATGTTGAACAAGACCGGTCCCAACACCGACCCCTGAGGGTCACCACTCGTTACTGGTCTCCAGCTGGACATTGAGCCATTGACCACAACTCTTTGTGTGTGGCCATCCAGCCAGTTCTTTATCCACTGAGTGGTCCATCCATCAAATTGATGTCTCTCCAATGTAGAGACAAGGATGTCGCGTGGGACAGTGTCGAACGCTTTGCACAAGTCCAGGTAGATGACATCAACTGCTCTACCCCTGTCCATCAGTTCTGTAGCCCCATCATAGAAGGCCACCAAATTGGTGAGGCAGGATTTCCCCTTAGTGAAGCCATGCTGGCTGTCACCAAGCACCTTGTTGTTTTTCATGTGCCTTAGCATGCCTTCCAGGAGAATCTGCTCCAAGATTTTGCCAGGCACAGAGGTGAGACTTACTGGTGTGTAGTTCCCTGGGTCATCCATTTTCCCCTTCCTGAAAGTGGGGGTTATATTTCCTTTTTTCTAGTTGTCAGGAACTTTACCTGACTGCCATGATTCGTCATGTGATTAGATATGTGATCAGTCTTTTAGTCTTTTAATTCCACAGTGATTTTATTGCACAGGGCAGGTTCAGCCCATCTTGAAAGGAGTGTCTGTCACCAGCCGACAGCTTGAATATGTCACTTTCTTTTTAAGGGATAAAGGATTTTCACTGTATAGGAGCAAGCTGTGCTGTGCCAGTTGGCCTCAGAGCCTGAAGATGGTGTCTAACTTTTAATTCACAAGTTTAAAAATAATCTCTGTGACCTAAGACAGAGCAGGCTGTGTGGCTAAGATTTCTTGTGACAAGAGTAGTTGCAAAATTCTCTGTTTAGGAGTTCAGAAGACCTGATGGATGGTGTAACTTGTTAAGATTGTGAATGCTCCTGTTTGGATTGTTTGCCCTTAACTCTCCTGAACAGTGGGGTGTATGTATGATCTCAGCAACTGCTTCCCCACCAAGGAAGTTCTGGCTGTTTCACACCTAGAAATTTTGTTGCTTCAGCAGACCAAGCATAACCTTGGCGAACTACACCATGTAATTCTGATTGTAGCTGTCTTTCAGCTTAATCTTAGCTCAATGAGAAATGTATTGTCTTACTGTGCTTTGGGTTAGAAAAATCCCCAGTAGAAAGGGAAGTATTTTTCCAAAGCAAAAGGATAATTTTAAAAGTTTGTTTTCATCTGTCACCCTGGAGGCTTACTTCTGAACTTAGTTCCGTGCATGTTTGGTGCCAGCTTTTTGAAGAGTTCAGATGATGTCCACCAAGATAATTAGGGGGCTAAGAGCTTATGGCTTATGAGTGGAGGCTGGGGGAGCTAGTTTTGTTCAGTCTTGAGGGTATTCAGTTACCTGTTGTGGAGTATGGAGGAAACAGAGTCAGAATTTGTGAGGCACACAGTGGTAGGACAAGAGGCAACAGGCACAAGTTGCAACATGGGAATTTCAGATTAGGTGTTGGGAAGAAAATTTTCACTGTAAGGACAGGCAAACATAGGAGCAGGAGTGCAGGAGGGCTGTTGTTCTGTGACACAGCATAGGGTGTGGCACGTGTTTCAAGTGCAGTTCCCTATGAAAGAGTTTACCACTAGATTTGCATTCAGGAAGGCATGTTTCTAATGTATAATAGAGGCCCAGAAGTGCTAATACTAATTGAATGCTGGAGAACTTAATATAATTGCTTTTTCTGCCACAAAGTTTTCATGTGTTGACTTTCCAGTGGGTGGCACTTTCTAGATGCCTGTATTGAAGGCTGTGCAGAAACGCTTCTCCAAACAGTATTTAGGGATTATTCTTTCATTCGTTAACATCTCTCTCGGTTTTGCCTGGAACAGAGTTAGGTTTCTGCCTAGTGTCTGGAACAGTGCTGGTTTTTGGCTTTAGTCTGAGAATAATGGTGATAACACACTGATGTTTTTAATTGTTAAGTAGTGTTTGTACTAAGTAAAGGACTTTTCAGCTTCTCACATCTTGCCAGCTAGAAGGCTGGAGAGGGCACAAGAAATTAGGAGGGGATACAGCCAGGACAGCTGACCCCAGCTGACCCAAGGGATGTTTCATACCATATGGTGTTATGGTCAGTATATAAACTGGGGGGAAAGCTGACCGGGAGCTGCTTCTCGAGAACAGGCTGGGCATTGGTCAGCAAGCTGTGAGCAGTTGCATTGTGTATCACTTCTTTTGTATATTCTGTTTTATCATTATTATTATTTTGTTCCTTTCCTGTCCTATTAAACTGTCTTTATCCTTACCCAAGAGTTTTCTCACTTTTACCCTTCCAGTTCTCTCCCCCATTCCACTGGGGGGCAGGGGAGCAAGCGAGCAGCTGTGTGGGGCCTAGTCACCAGCTGGTGTTAAACCACAACATCTTGTATGCTAAATACTTCAAAAAGGTTTCTTTGGTTTCCAAACTTAGTGCCTAGTTTTAGTCTTAGTCTTTTTGTGATTCATCTTCCCAGTTGTCAGATAGGGAAACCATAATTGCTTTTCAGGGGCAATGTAGTGATGATTATCATAAACCTCAAAAGAACATAAATAAATCTTCCTCAGAGCATTGTTTGTGTTCTGGTACCTGTGTATTGGAATAGAATTAGAGAAGAAAGCGAAGTTTCAGTACATCCTTTTGGAAAAAGAAAAACCACAGGTGATCATTAATTAATTAGAACAGCTATGCATGAAGAGACCAGCCTTAATTATAGCATTTCCTAACTTTAGAACTTTTTACTGTAATGCTTTCACTGTTGTGGGTTTTAATAGTTTTTTGTTTTTAAGTGTAAATCACAGTGAAAATTTTGAGCTATTTTTGCAGCATTTGAGATTTACAGCATTTTTGTTGTTTATGAGAGAACTCAGCTGAAAGAGAGTCCCTATTGTAGCAAATGATGCTGGTTAACACATGCCACACAACTCAGTGTGGTGACTGTCTCTCAGACTCTGAGCTCAGTTCTGTTCTCATCACCATCAATGGGAGTTTTAGTGTTGCCTTCCCTGCAGGTGTCTCTTTTATTGATGTCCAGGTAATGTAGTACAGCCTAGCAAGGAACTTGTATGTGAGGTATATGCTGTATACTGAGTGCAAAATGCTGAAATCAGTATCTTAGAATCTTCAAGAGGTATTGGAAATATAATGAGAACAATAAACACTTGAAGTCCTTAAAATATGTACTATTTGGGAAAGTATCTGCTTAAATTAATTTGAATTTTGAAAGCCCTTAAAAGACTTTTTAACTTTCAAGTATGTCTAAATATGCATGCTGTCTCACCTAGGGGGCTCAGTGTATTAACGGATCATAAACAGGATGTGCAGAATCAGGAAACTAAATGCTAATTAAATCAAAGAGCAGAGAAGATAAAGCCAATCACTTCAACCATCAGCATATGCCTTATTTTCAATAAACCTGCTGTTACTAAAAGGTTGGTTTAAAAAACAAGAACAGTAAAGTTTCATTGGGAAGCACTCTAAAGTTCAGCTGCTCTGGGTTGAAGGTTGCTTGTCAAACCTTAATGTGTATCTATTGTGTGTATACATTATAATAGTCTTTTAACAGGAGAAATCCCTGTAAAGTGGGAGGATAGTCTTTGACTTGAGTGTAGTGGAAAATTAGATCTGATAAAACCCATTCACTTGCCCTGCTCTTAAAAGCCTGTAGAAGTACATAAGAAAAGTAAATTTGTTGTTGATGGCAAAATAAATGGTAGGAGGAGATGTTATTTTGGAAGCAGTGCTTTTCAGAGACAATTGGAAGCAATTATGAGCTGCACAGTCTAAAAGTCTGACAGTGGTTTTGAATGTAACTGATTTTTATGAACTTTTTGAAAGCTGTTACAATTCTCTTACTTGCAAGGTCTCTTTTGCTTTTGTCTTTGAATAGCTCTCTCCAAACACGCATCAGCTGTAAATAAATTAGGTGGGAAATCCTGATTCTATGTGTACTTGTTAATTTGTGAAACAGAAGAATATCCAACTGCTGGGATTTCCATCTATCAAATCTCTCTAAAATATAGAGTAAGGATTAAAATCTTACTTATTCTATCTTTTGCTTTGCAGGTCCAAACCATGAATTACGTTGGACAGTTAGCAGGGCAAGTGTTTGTAACTGTGAAGGAGCTTTATAAAGGACTAAACCCAGCCACATTGTCGGGATGTATAGATGTAATTGTTGTATGTCAGCCAGATGGAAATCTTCAGTGTTCTCCTTTCCATGTTCGCTTTGGCAAAATGGGAGTTCTACGTTCTAGGGAGAAAGTGGTAAGAAAATGGAGAATTTTCATACTTTCTGCCTGTGGGTTGTCCCTAATGGCATGAAAGTTACTGAATGTTCTGTGGTGTGCTAGTCAAGGTTTTCTTTAGACACTCTTTATACAGGTTGAGGCACAGTTCAATTAAAATGGTTGTTACTGATTTTTCCATTTCATAGCATAATTTGTAAGACTTTGACTATTGTAAAAACAAAGCAAGAATGACATTTGTAAGTTTTATTTTCAAAAAGCAAAATTTTGAATGTGCTGATTTGGCCCTATACTAGATCTCATTAGTGACTGTGTATTAAGACCCCTTTGTTTAACATGTTCAATAATAGTTACAAAAAAGGGGGTAATAATGAAGTAGTATTTTCAGGTAACAGAATGTTGAGGTTAATTGAAACTAGATAAAGCAGCATGGACCTTGAGATAAATGTAACCACTCTGAATAACCTGGCAATATGATGTCAGATGTGAAGTTGCCAGTGAGTGATGCATGGCAGATTATTTTGGGAAATAATCTGTAACTACATATAGTCTAGAATGTAGTTTAGTTGTTCAGTGGAAAGTCCTAATGTCATCATGGACATTGTTCAAATCTTACATAAATCAGAAAGGAAGTCCAATATTTAGGATGGGTAAAAGTTGAAAATGTTACTGTGTCAGTAATCTGCTGTGTCCTGAAATATGACATTAATATAGATATTTCCAAGCCTCAAAAAAACCAAACCACCAAACAACAAACTTGAGTGAAAATGGAGTTGATGGCAAGAACAATTATGGGCAAAGAGGGAGATCCTCCTGAGAAGAAGTGGAAATAGTTGGGGCTGTATAGTGGTGAGATAAATGCATGGAAGAAACAGATGCATTAATTGTGTCGAGAATGTAGGACAATTTTTCTTACTTGTGCTTTTCATGGTGCGAAGAGAAGCCTGTTTAATGAATTCAAGAGACAGCATATTAAGAATTTGCATGTGGAAGTACTTCTTACACAATTCAACGTTAAGCTTTGAATTAAAAAAGCAAAAAGACTCGTGTGGTGGATGAAGCATTCAGACTATAAACTTTCCTGAGTAGAGGAACAAGACAGCAGTGAGCTGAATGAGTAAGGCAACGTTTTGACAATTGATGACCCTGTGAAGTGGTGAGAAAAGAAAGAGAGAGGTTCACTATTTTGCTTATTACAAGGTTTCCTACACTTCCCTGAGAAGCATTTGCCCAGTGACAGTGGTAGGATAGCTGAATGGGATCTGTGTATCTAAAATAACTTTCTTTTCATATGAGAACGTATTTATTTTCTTCCAGGTTGACATAGAAATTAATGGAGAAGCTGTAGACTTGCACATGAAACTAGGAGACAATGGTGAGGCTTTTTTTGTGCAGGAGATGGATAACAACCAGGTAAGAGTCAAAACTAATTTAAAGTTGTCAAAAACTCAATGCCTGATCTTCAGAGTCACTTTTGAATTTAGGAATTTTTGTTGAAAATACACTTCTACCCATAGTGTAGTTTCAAAGTTTCTGGACAGTTTTCTGTTGTGGAAATTCAACACTCTGCAGTTTTTTGGGTTGCTGAGATTTGGAAAAATCTAAAGAAGGTAATCGCATAACTGAAAAATAAGTAACAGTTTATGTGCATGCCACTGTGTGAGCAGAAGTAACGTGTACATTGTTCACATGCTTCAGAGGTGTGTACAATGGAGGTTTATATGTCAATGACCTGTTTTTTGCAGAAATCTCTACTTTGAACATAAACACTGGGCAGAATGTCAGTAGAAGTACACACGCCCTGTAAACATCTGTGCACACAGTAATTTTGATACTCACCAAAGACATGTTCATGTGGAATTATATTTGTGAGAATGCGTACTGTTGAGTTGTGTGATTAAATTTCAGTCCATATAAGTTGTGGGCTACTCAAAATTAGTGTGACCATATGTCATAAGAAAAGCTTTTTACAGCTATTTCTTATCAGAGATCCCCAACAAATTTTGTCACCATCCATAGTGGAATGAGTTTTCAAATTCCACATTGAATGCTACAGTAGTTTTAAGTTTTAAGTGAGAACTGTGTGCATGTGCAGTATTAATTTCTATATCTTTAGGTTTAAATCTCTGTTAAGCGGTTATTTGGTGACTGAAAATTGCTAAAATTTTTCTTGACTATCTAGAGATGTATATATATATGACTAAGAGTGTGACCCAGTTATAAACTGCCCTATCATAGAATCATAGAATAATTAGGGTTGGAAAGGACCTTAAGATCATCTAGTTCCAACCCCCCTGCTGTGGGCAGGGACACCTTATGCTAAATCATATCACCCAAGGCCTCGTCCAACCTGGTCTTGAACACTGCCAGGGATGGAGCATTCACAACCTCCCTGGGCAACCCATTCCAGTGCCTCACCACCCTAACAGGAAAGAATTTCCTCCTTATATCCAATCTAAACTTCCCCTGTTTAAGTTTTAACCCGTTACCCCTTGTCCTATCACTACAGTCCCTAATGAAGAGTCCCTCCCCAGCATCCCTATAGGCTCCCTTCAGATACCAGCAGGCTGCTATGAGGTCTCCACGCAGCCTTCTCCAGGCTGAACAGCCCCAACTTCCTCAGCCTGTCTTCATACGGGAGGTGCTCCAGTCCCCTGATCATCCTCGTGGCCCTTCTCTGGACTTGTTCCAACAGTTCCATGTCCTTTTTATGTTGAGTTCATCAGAACTGCACACAATACTGCAGATGAGGTCTCACAAGAGCAGAGTAGAGGGGCAGGATCACCTCTGTCGACCTGCTGGTCACGCTCCTTTTGATGCAGCCAGGATACGGTTGGCTTTTTGGGCTGCGAGCACACACTGCCGGCTCATGTTCATTTTCTCATCAACCAACACCCCCAAGTCCTTCTCTGCAGGGCTGCTCTGAATCTCTTCTTTGCCCAACCTGTAGCTGTGCCTGGGATTGCTCCGACCCAGGTGTAAGACCCTGCACTTGGCATGGTTAAACTTCATGAGGTTGGCATCAGCCCACCTCACAAGCATGTCAGGGTCCCTCTGGATGGCATTCCTTCCCTCCAGGGTATCAACTGAACCACACAGCTTGGTGTCATCAGCAAACTTGCTGAGGGCGCACTCAATCCCACTGTCCACGTCAGCGACGAAGATATTAAACAAGACCGGTCCCAGCACCGATCCCTGAGGGACACCACTCGTTACTGGTCTCCAGCCGGACATTGAGCCATTGACCACAACTCTTTGCATGCGGCCATCCAGCCAGTTCTTTATCCACTGAGTGGTCCATCCATCAAATTGATGTCTCTCCAATGTAGAGACAAGGATGTCGCGTGGGACAGTGTCGAACGCTTTGCACAAGTCCAGGTAGATGACATCAACTGCTCTACCCCTGTCCATCAGTTCTGTAGCCCCATCATAGAAGGCCACCAAATTGGTGAGGCAGGATTTCCCCTTAGTGAAGCCATGCTGGCTGTCACCAAGCACCTTGTTGTTTTTCATGTGCCTTAGCATGCCATCCAGGAGAATCTGCTCCAAGATTTTGCCAGGCACAGAGGTGAGACTGACTGGTCTGTAATTCCCAGGGTCATCCGTTTTCCCCTTCTTGAAAATGGGGGTTATATTTCCCTGTTTCCAGTCATCGGGAACTTCACCTGACTGCCATGATTTCTCAAATATGATGGCCAGCGGCTTCGCAACTTCATTTGCCAGCTCCTTCAGGACCCGTGGATGGATCTCATCAGGACCCATGGACTTGTGCACGTTCAGATTTTTAAGATGGTCTCGAACCACTTCCTCTCCTACAGTGGGTGCAAGGTCTTCATTCTCATAGTCCCTGCATCTGCCTTCCAAGACTTGGGTGGTGCAGTCAGAGCCTTTGCCAATGAAGACCAAGGCAAAGAAGTCATTCAGAACCTCAGCCTTCTCCAAATCCAGGGTAGCCACTTCTCCCGAGAGCTTCCAGACAGGGCCCACGTTGTCTCTAGTCTGTCTGTTATTTGCTACGTACCTGTAGAATCCCTTCCTGTTATTTTTGACATCCCTAGCCAAGTTTAATTCTAACTGGGCCTTAGCTTTCCTAACCTGGTCCCTAGCTTCCCGAACAAAATCGACTACTGACTGTTATCTGAGTTATCTGAGTTGTGAAGAATTAGCTTTTACAAAATATTCAGATTATAAATTAGGATTTTTGTTTCTGCTCTGTATGTAGCATCAGGTGGATAAAAATTCATGCCATAATGTGGCCAATATGAGATGCTCAGAGGATCCTCTTTATTACAAGTATTGTTCCTGGCTTGTCTAAGGAGATGCATCTGTGGAACAACTTCCATACGCTATAGGATCATACTGAGCATCCAGGTGTCTAATCTTAGTTACTTTTCTGTGGAATAAATCACTTAGATTTTGACAATTGTGTATATATTTTAGAACCATATTTATGACTGGTGGAGGAGCTAATATGTTGCATGGTTTGGATTTTTTCTTCCTCAGGAGGTAATTCCTCATCATCTCTCCACATCTCCCATTATGTCTGAGGGAACTGCTTTAATGGAAGCTCAGCTGAAGAGGAACTCCATAGACAGGATAAGAAACCTGGACACCAGTGCATCCTCACAAGTACCACCCCAAGGCCATGGATCCCAGCTTTCTACTGAAACATCTCCAGTCTGTAGCTCTGTGAAAAAACGGAGGAAGAAGAGGAGAAAGTCTACCCATAAAATAGACAGCTTAAAAAGAGAAGACAATGGAGACACATCGGAAGATGAAGACATGTTTCCCATAGAGATTAGCTCAGAGGAGGAAAAAGAACCATTGGACAATTCACGGTATAGCAGCGGAACTGAGCTATGTAATGGAAACCTGATGCTGGGTTAATGTTCCATTCCATGCCTTCCAACAGTAATTTCTCTTTAAGTCGGTACGCATGGCTGATGAGCATGTGTCTATAAGAAAAAGCTTTAGGCTAGAAAGCCATTAGGAATGATAGTAACAAAAATTACATAGAAAACATAAGAACAATCCTCCATCATGCTGTGAACTAAAAGGTGTCAATCAGATAATATTTCTCTATATCCTTTTAGTTCAGGTTATGCTGATTCTTCTCTACAGTAGGGGTTTTTTGTTGTCTGAAGTATGTGACAGCTCAGTTATTAAGTATGGGTGTTAAATGTCACGTCTTTCCCTATACCTAGAATCCCTGTTCCAGATGTGTGTGTTGATGATGTATCTGACATGAAGGCTCCTGCAGCTTCTATGTTTTCTCAGTCTTCATCTTACCCTCATTCAGATGGAGAATGGTCACCTCTTCAAAGGTACTTTTTCTGTTAGTACAGTTCTAAATAATCTTCCTCTTTCCATTAACGTCTTATAGGCTAGTGCTATACGAAGTCTTACTAAAAATGTAGGTATCAAACATGGTAAATGTCAACTACTAGATGAATGGTTTCTATATTTGAAATCAGGTAGTGTTCAAAAACTTTGGGTTAGCGTTGTCCTTGGTTCAACAAATGCATATGTACAAATGCAGGCCCATAAATTCTGAAGAATGTTTCTATCTGTTAATGTCGCTGTTTTTGTAGAAATACTATAGAGAGGATGAATATTTTGTGAAATCTGAATCTTTGCCTAATGCACACACCTTGTAAGGACTTCAGTGGATGTCTGTATATAAATCTATAGTACTTTGGGTGTAATCCTTTTAAGAACTTTCAAGATTGGAGTTGATGTATAAAAATAAGATTTACTTAAATGAGCATGAGCTTTTTGTGTCCTTTTCAAAGCTAATTTATTGAATTGCGCAGTTAAATAGACATGTAATCATAGAATCACAGAATTGTTAGGGTTGGAAAGGACCTTAAGATCATCTAGTTCCAACCCCCCTGCCATGGGCAGGGACACCTCCCACTAAACCATGTCACCCAGGGCTCTACATATTACCCAAGTAATATTTACTGTGTGAAAAAAACACATACAGAAATATGCTTATTCTTTCCTGTATGTGTATTTATGTGCTTGTGTATACCTTTGAAGTCAGAACAGATCAGTTTGGACTGACTTTCTTGTGTCTGCGGAACACTGTCAGAAGGAGACAATTTTTTGCCTAATGTGCACTGAAATCTGTGTGTTTGTGTGCTCCTGCGCACATGTGCTCCACATCCTCCATGCCGACTACTGGAGTGGAGCAATATTTACAAGACACTATTCTAAGAAGCCTAATTTCATTATACTGTCTGTGTATTTGAGGGGCAATGTAATCAGAGCAAGAGCTTAATTGAAATGTTTTGAACTGCATTCTGGAAGAAACTTTCTTCACTGACTATAAAGCTTATTATGATTAACTTCACTTTGGTGACAGCATATGTCAATACCCTGCCCCTTTGATGCCTTTTTGAACTGTATGTTCTGTTTGTTTTTAGAGTGCAATATTCTGGATTTTGAAAGCTCTAGATTCATGCATAAAGAGCTAAGTGTTAATCAGCACTCATGAATAATGACACCCTGTTTTCCTTTGTACCAACATGCTGTGCTGTCCAGTAAGCCTATAGATTGCACAGGGCAAACCTCTCTTCTCACTGTTCCAGCAGACGGAGGCCTATCTAACTCCTGTCCTCAACAATCTTCTCACTTTTCTCCTCCAGACAGGTAGAACAGTTGTCCTTCCTCTTTTCCTTTTTAAATCCTTTTAACACATTAATAGTATGTGAACTTCATTGAACTTCTGACTGTGCTTATTGCTAACCCAGGCACCTTGAAAGAGACACTGAAAGCCACTTCCTCTGCTTGCTTCCTTGAGGGCATTGACTGGAGGTAAATTACCTTGATGAATCATCTGTTGAGGATGGCCAATATAAAATCAGGCCAATGAAAACGGATTAAAATTGAAGTTGATGAAGATGATTAAAAAGAAGAAAAAGGGAAGAATTTAGCTAGTGAGAACTTACATTCCTGTGAAGACTGGCATTTCTATGTGGCTTTTTACAGTCAGTGTATATTTTAAGGACGTTTTTATTCCATGGCTTTCCTGACTTGTTTGCTTGTGCATAGGTTGCAAAAGTAAAAGCAGAACAAGGACTGGAGATTAAGTGAGCAGTAAGGAGTACAGAACTTGGAGTGGGAGAAGCCCAGTACCAGAAGAGAACTTCTCTTCCTTTGTTCCCTGGTGTGGGGGAGGGGAGGACTTTGAAGGGGGGGAGTATCAGAGTAAAGATGACACAATAGATAAGGCATACTACTTTGCTGTAGTGCAGGATTCCTCTGACTGTAGATTCTCTTCTACAGAGCTGTAAGTGGATGCAGACACTTGTGATGATATCTTAAATTTGAGATATCTCAAGATTCTGCAGCCAGGCCCTTTTTCTCCATTAAGTGAGTTGACAGAAATCACAGCAACTCAGTTGAAAAATTTAAAGTAGGTGTCTGAATATGACCTGTACAATTCTCCATTAATGCTCGGGAAGCTTTGAGTAATATATCAGGCTAAATTGTTCTTTGCTTATCTCAGCAGAAATGCCATACTAGGTGTGTAAGGCTGCATCAAACTGATGCTCTTGAGGTTTTTCCCAGCTTCTGGATCTGCCCTCTTTAACCTGACCATTACCTGATTGATAATGTTGCATTACCAATCAAGGTGAGATCCTGGGACATTCAAGACTGTTCTCCTTAGTGTTTTTCATGGCAGTGTAGGGCAAGTGCACAGGGATGGAGCAGTGATTTGCTCTGGGTGGCTCCATGAACTTTGCTGTAGTGTTCACTGTCCTGCAGTCTAGATACACAGCTGAAGTGCTGTAGTAATTTGCCTGAGTAAGGTCCTCTCTGTGTCTGCAACTGTTCTTCTTGATGTGAAACAGGAAGCCGTACTATGGCCACCTCAAAGGAGCTTCAGAGGTTCTCAGCTGTTGTGACATGTACATGAGATAAGTTTCTTTCCTTCTATCTTTTCCCAGTTTATTTGGCCTCAGTCAGGACAGGACTTTTTCTCAGTTCACACTGCTGCTTTCTCAGGACTCTCTTAGCTTTCAGTGGGAAACACTGCAAAGATCAGCGTGGTTTCCTGTTGCAGAACTGCCAACTACAGGTCAAGTTCTGTATTCTTGACATTGGATTACATTAATTGCAATCATAGTGGTTAAGGAATACATAGGACTGTGACATGAATATTCAGCATTTATGGGATGTGAATCAGATATGCTGATCTGAATGATTGAACTGAAGTTTGCCTTCTTGTGCATTGTGGACAGGAAGGGTGGCTCTCTTTTAATCTGGAATTATCACAGCAATCAGTGGCCAATTTAAGGACAGGGGAATTGCAAGACATAGTTCAGTCCAAGACAAACATGTTGCTGGTGTAAGGAATAGAAAGCCCATTTTTAGTCTGATCCACAGATGCATTTGCAGGATACTCTCACTGGATTACAAATCATGCACAGTCTTGGTGTTCAGACTTTCTGACCCCTAGTGCAAGTATAACATTAACTTGGGATTCAATTTGACCTAATTGAGTTTAAAAATGCAATGAAAGGAATGGCGTTGTGAGATTTATTAGTCTTCAGTCTTATTTTACTTTGATGGCAATGGTATGAAGTGAACAGCAGCCAAAATAGTCCCAGTGTAGGCGAAGGAGGTGACATCTGGCATTACATATGGAAGCAGAACTTTACAAACAGGAAGAATACAAACAGGACTGTAGTAGACATAACTGGCTACCTGTGTCCATAAACTATAGAGATTACTGTTGGTGTTCTAGAAAGGTGTAAGTTAGAGAGAGTAGGTATGGAGTGTTAAACAACAATGTGGCTTATGAAGAAAAAAGTAAAAGTATTTCTCTGTAATTCCCTTACAGCTCCTATTAGGAGGCCACCAACCCTGTATTAACGTTTGTTGATGGCATAGAAAATTTAGTTTTATGTCCTGGATGATATAAGGAATGAAAATGCTGTAATGTTTTTATATACAAAATAATTTATCCCTGTTTGCCTTTGGCTGCATGTTTGCAGTCTGATTTGCTTGTGGGCCTTCAGATCAAGATGACATTGCAATGATAATTCTAGTCAACCCTGAGGTTGTATTCACATTTATACATTAATCGACAAGGAGAAATCAACTGAAAAGAATTCTAAAGGTCTAACAGTTTGTTACTACTAAATCCTCACTTTTTATTGTATAGAAAAGTAATATCTGTAGAATGAGAATTAAGATGGCACCATTGTGTTTGTGTCAAAAGTTCAGCAGACAGTGGCATTTTTTCTGCTTTGTTTTGGGACAGTGGGTAGTATTTTGGCAGTTAGATGCCTACCTTAATCCTAACTTACTTGTGGCTGTATATACTCAGAACCAATAAAGCAGACATGTGCATGGACCATTGGACAGCCTTTCGCAGCCAGAAACTTCTTCAGGGCCCTCAGGGCAAAACTCTGCCTTGTATTTACATACACACATATGGCATTAAAGGCAGAATAGATAATCAGAATATTATATATAAATAATGATTCACTAATTCAAGGACAAAAGGAAAAATGTGACTTGCTGTCACATTGTTGACTTTACTACATTACATATATGCTACAAACTAATAATTTACTGATTATTAAATATTTTTTATTATGTAGTCAGCAAAGCAAACAGTTAAACTTTTTTGAACTGGAAGAACTCAAATTCTTTGTACAGCTCTGCTGCTCTAGAGGTTTCTCTATAAACCTACATCCAAGGCTAGAACTGAGCAGTTTAGTAGAAAGAAGTAATCAGCTGGATTCGTTAGACTAATTTATTACTTAATCAGGTTAAAATGTCTTGCTGATGCGAGTAATTTCTGCACTTCCCATCCATTATAACAGTACTAACATCTATTCATCTGCTGCTGCTGGTACCATCCCTGTACTTTTTTCCACACAAAACCCTCCTGAAATGTTCAAGTCCAGTGGTCCTGTCTTATCTCTTTCAGCTTCTCAAATCCTGCTTCTGTGACAGCACTTAATAAAAAATGGATGAGACCTCTGAATGCCAGTCTGAGAGGATCCTGAACTGTTTAAACTGTCTTTCCATGCTTTCACGCTTAAGTTGGCTAATGGCTATTTAGATCTCCAGTGCTTTGTGTTGGGGATATCAGTTTGGAAAGTGCTTAATGTGTTGTGGTTACTTTTGGTTTTGTAATATTTTTTGTTTGGTTTTCTTCAGCCCATCAGGTTCACGCCCTCCTACTCCTCAAAGTGACTCAGAATTAGTCAGTAAACCTATGGACAGAAGTGGGCTGAAGAATAATCCCCACATGCACTGGGCATGGGGAGAGCTACCCCAGGCTGCAAAGGTATCCAATGTAATTTAATTCCGGCTAGCATCTCTTGGGCACATGGACTTATTCTGTTGCAGACTACTAAAGAGGGAGTGGATCCTGTTTTTACCGAAAACTGTCATGTTTTATATAAGAAAGAGAATTGCATCTTGCTCCTTAGGAGGTACAGGAAAGTACCCTCTGCTGGGTATGTTATCAATACCCATGATACATGGTAAAAAATGACTCTGAGACCTAATCTTGTAAAAATTAGAAGCTTAAATAACATATAAAATCAAAACAAATGTCCTTTGGTAAATCACTGAAATTCATAAATGATCTTAGATAGAAATTAGTGCTTGGTGTTAGCAGTGTGATTCACAAAAATTGAAATTGGTTGTTTTCAGTACATAAGCATCCAGAAACACTTACAGTTCTGTGTCAGTGCATGCCCAGGCATGCTGTTCTTTTGGCTCAGCTGACTGGCTTGGTGCCTGTCTTCTCCCTGAAGCCATTTGGCTCAGTTAGGTGGCAGGATCTGCAGTGTGCCAGCAGCATTGTCTCCCATGTTGCGCAGTAGCCATGTGTAGCTGTGTACACTGCAGGTCAGTCAGGTATTGACCAGCTCCATATGACAGCTGTGGAGTCAGAGCTTTCATAGATGAAAGGGGTGACTTAGGGGTTATGCCTGCCTCAGGGTATGAGAAACAAAGGTCAGTAGCATACTGCAGCTACGGGGCAGGGATGGTGCAGGATTTGGCCTCTTCTTCTCAAAGCTGGCTTCTCTGCAGAAAGGCCTGTAGGAGTGCTGGGGTCAGGAACAGTATAAAGAAACAAAATTGCTGCTTTGCAGGCCGGGGAAGTGGGTATCCTCTTCAGAAAGAAGACTGCATTCTGGTGGTGCCACCAGAAGTATAATGGTGCTATTATATTTATCTTTAATTCACTGTTGTTAGCTAGTGACAAAAGAAGGGATGGAAATCCAGAATTCTTAATTCCTTCAGAAAACCTCTGGCCTCTTCTTTAGTAGGCCATAGATGAGCTACTTCATCACCTCTGTGTTATTCTCCTCCTCATGTATGTTAGAAAATTGGGAGCTATTTTCTGTAAGTAGAGAACTAATTCAAGTGCACAGGTCCAGGCAGGAATTTCAAATTGGCATTTCCAGTCTATAATTTAGGGTTTCCTGTTATTAGATTTAGGCGTTTCGTTTTTATCCTAGTCACACAGCCTAGTGTGTATAGCAAATCTTACTCTTGGAAGCTTTTCCCTCTGCAGTCCCTGCCTATCTCCCTAGCCAATCTATTCAGAATTGATCTGACCTTACCTGAATTGAGAGTTATGCTTTGGACAGTCTTAATATTTGTGTAAGAGTTTGTTTGCTATCATGTGAACATTATAGCAGCTATACAGCTGCTGCTGTCGGGGTTCAGCTTTCCACTGTAAGAACTCCTCCTGTCCCACACTGAGAGAAGATTTGGAATTGTTCCTGTGAAGTGATCTTAAAGTCTGAATCTGGGCTATAGATGAATGACAGTGTCTGGTCCCTGGGAGCATCCTGATTGTGTATGAACTGCAGTCTGCACTTCCTTCTTATGCTTGTCAGGGTTACCTTCTGGAGAAAAGCTAGGATTTCTGCAGGAAGGAGGGCAGGGTAGGAGCTATGATATGCTCCCAGGCAGGTGAGTGGGAAATGAGGACAGTAAAGCACATTGCAGAGCAAGTCTTTCTTGGCCCCAAGATACAGATGAATTTTGAGTAGCAAATACACAGCAGAGAGGCATTTTGTACACTGTAGTCTCCACCTCAGTGGTAGCTTTCTGCTGTAGTTGCTTACCTTGAGAATCTGATCTCACTGAAGTGATCAGAACAGATTAAACTCTGGCTGTTGCATTTAATAGCTTTTCTTTATAGCAGTTTTTGTTTTTCCTCACAGGCCAGTCCTCTGCTCAAAGCAAAGGAACCCAGTGTGGTGGATGTAAATCCCTCTGAAAGCACTCACTTTCGGGTCATCCAGAGTTCTCCTATAGAGGAGTTTAAGACTGAGTCTCCTCTACCTGCTCTTAGACAAGCAGATGCAGCAACTGCTGCTGAAAGTGAGCCCTTACCAGCTGAGACAAATAAGCCAGAGACAGAGTCTCCAGGAGCAGCTGTACAACCATTGCCTGCCAATGAGGAAATAAAACAAGCTACAGCTTGCTCAACCCAACCAGCTGGCAAGACAGATTCTCCATCCAGAAAAAAAGGTAAAGGTCTTGATTCTTCACTTTTATATGTATGATTTAATCTTTAAATTTCATGGTGATAAAGTATTTCATTGCCATTTAAATTAATCTGTGCCCTGAAGGCACTTTCACATCTGGAAAACTGTAAACTTCCAAACCTGAGCTGTGCAGCCTTCTTTTCACAGGAGCCATGTAGTAAGGCACAAGATTCTTCTTGGTTTGGGATTTTTGGCAGCTCTGTGCACATGAGCAAGACTTACAAAACTTGTTCCAAATTCATCCACACTGATTCAGAGTTTTCAGGTTTTGGTACAAGCAAACTGGAGAGCTGGTTCACCTGCTCTGACTACTTTCTGAGTTGTTATGCGTTTCTGGAAATTGTGGAACCTCTGTGCTCTGGTACAGAGTGGTAGTGTGTCCTTTGTACAAACCGCAGATTTGCCACAGAATAAGGTGCTTTCGTTTTACATGAGCAATTTCAGTTCTTTGTGGTGCATGTTCTGTTCTGAATTTGTGAAATATAACTCTGTCTGCTTTCCTACTTCTTAATTTCTGGGCTTTATATCCATGCTATTGTATAATAAGTGTTACAATCCTCACATGAAATTTATTTACTTACAGATGTTGTGTTTTAGAGCTCTGATAATTCTGTAATTATGTAAAGCCTATTTAAGCTTGGTTTATGTAGCTGATTTTAATCAGTAGACATACAGGTTTCTTAACCACTTCCCCATGTGTTTCACTATCTTTGACGATAAAAAAATTACAATGTTACTCTGCTGTTTGGCCTTTACATAACTTCTTTTTCTGATTTCTTTGCTGATGTTTGATGTTGGTAACTGGGACAGGGAGAAGTCATGGGTTTTAGAATGAATTCCAAGTTAGGTTTTGGCCTTACAACAGTTACTTGTCTAGATGAACCAGCAACAAGAGGACAGCAATGACTGTCTGTTGGTACTAATTAAAGACACGGGAGGGTTGTCTTGTCCCTTACAGTGGTGCATGTACACACACATCAGATGTATGTGCTAAACTGTGAGTTGTCTCCATAACAAGCCAGTTACAGTGCATTAGTGACTATAGTATAGTCTGTTGTGTTATTTCCCTTTGCAAGAGGGCATTGAAGATTAGTTCTCGAAGACTAAAGGCTCTGATTGCCTTACTGTGGTAATAGGCCTATGCAAATACTTTTCCTTTGCTGCTTTCCTACAGTGACCCTGACTTCTAATTCCCACTTGTTTTGCCTTGGACAGAGAGGCTTCAGCATATCTCAGAACTTGTCCGCTGTTATAAAAAAGAAAAAAAATATGTATGTTGGACAAAATCCAAACAATGTATATGAGCAACTTGTTTTGAAATTTTTTGCAGTACCATATAGTTCACAAACTGTTATAATTTGTTTGGTTTCTCAATCTTAAAATGAATAGTTAAACAGTAATAACAGTTCTGGCTTGTTGTTAAGAAAATGATCATTAATAGTCTTATATGTGCTGTCCCTTACAGACAAACGAAGCCGGCATCTTGGTGCTGATGGTGTCTATTTAGATGACCTCACCGACATGGATCCAGAAGTTGCTGCACTTTATTTCCCCAAGAAGTATAAGTCCTTTGCTTATATTTTGACTGTTTAAAGAACTCTTGTCACCTTCCAGGTTCATTGCCCACCAGATAAGACCTTTTTTCAAAGTTGTCGTGGTTTAAACCCAGTCAGGTAACTCGTTCAGGTAATTCGTGCTGAACCCAGGACAAAAGTCCAAGTAGACATGAAGGCAGAAGGGAAATAAAACTCTGCAGAGAAGAATATTAGAGTTTTTGAAAGGTTCTGCATTTGAGCCTGAAAAGTGTGCTTGAAACTGATTTTCTATTTTGATCAGTTAAGCATAATATGTTGATTGTGGATTGTTACGTGATATACACTGATGTTTCTGAGTGTTACTCACATGCCCTGGGAGAACAATTGGCCTTGGGATATATTTATCCCCATGTCCTTCCTTATTACCATGAGGAACATACTTTACTATTAATAGTATTAGCACCAAATTACTGCTTTAGCGTTATTATACAGTGGGTGATCACCTATAAATATGAATGTTACAAAATAATTTTTGGAAGGTGCATAACAGATCTGTTTATGCAAGTATTGCACCCTGAAAATAAAATAATTTCCAACTTGTTCTGATCTTTATTAGAGCCTCTTATAACATTTATAGTCCTCTTTCCACATCATACTCCAGTCATTTCACTAAAAGTCATTGAGGAGCAACTGAAGTAGCTTGCATATTTTATTTTTCACTCTTGCTTGCTTAAACTCAGCTGTTGTGATATTAGCACTTTAATAAAATTGAGGAAGATAGTAATATGGAGAAAAAAGTTGGATTGAAAGTTCCTTTTTCAAATGTATTCATATAAATCTGGAGTGGAAAGCAGAATTTGATGAGCCTGCACTTTGTAATAATGATCTCATCTATCTGCAGTTTTTAAGTGGGTACAATGATTTATTGTTTCTCAGTTTTTTTTATCCTAGTAGTTTATATGCAGAGTATTTTATTTGTATATACATGACATAAATACACAAGCAGATGCATCTTTTGTTTTGGATTTAGCTATCAGTTTGTATAATTAATATAAATAAAATAATAAACTAATAGGTTTATTCTTGTGCCTGGGTGGGAATAGTTCTAGTATAAACTCTGCTTATAGTAGCAAGCATTATATAGTCTACTAAGATCTTACAGTTTATTGCCTTATTTTTCCTGTCTCTTGTACATATGTGAAGCTATAATTATACATGCTTAGTCTGGACAAGTAAGAAGAAGCAATCTAATGTTTGAGGGCACATGAGGCCTATACTACTTTTATGGTAAAACCAAGCAAATTTCTTTAGGTTCTTCCTCTTTCCCCCTTCCCCCCCTTCCCCCAACTGTGTGTCAGATGTAAAAGGTGCTTGCTGAAGGGAATGAATTTGGGAATGAATACGTGAAAATTGAATTCCTGATTTTTCTTTTCCAGTGGGGATAATGTCCAGTGCAGGAACACGAGTGACACAGGGCTGCGATCTGCCAGCCAATCTCCACAATCTGGTGGTAGCTCAGGTGTAGACAGTGGAGCTGAAAGCACCTCAGACGGAATTAGAGATTTACCTTCCATTGCAATTTCTCTCTGCGGAGGCCTTACTGATAACAGAGAAATAACCAAAGGTACAGAATGACATTGTTACATAGGCATGTGCTGGCAGCCAAGCTTTAGCGTCCTAGACTGAAGAAGCAGTGCCCTCCTGTGGTTGTATTCAAGAATGTGTTGCGAGGAGAAATGCTGTCCCTGTAATGATTAGATACCTAGAATGTTTCATATTTAAAATAGTGGACTTATATAGGAATGATGATTTTTAGTAATTTTTAGTAATTCACTACATACTAAATTTCTTAAGTATTTTATTGCATTGGGTTTTGTGTTTGTTTTTGTTTTGTTTTGTTTTTAATTTCGTGATAGTACTAAGGTTTGTATCGTGATAGTATTAATGGTATCTTTTCTGCTTGGTACAGTATATAGTTAGGAAGTCACAGCTGTTGGTGTCAGGAATGGAAAAAGGTGGTCTATAAATGGGAACACTAGAAGGAGGAGTTGGAAACTTTTAAGCTGAGTACCTGCTCTACCTCAAATATTATATGTAGCTCTTAGATAAATCATTTACACTGCTCTGTGCCTTAAACTTCCAGCTGCATAATGTGAGCATAAATGTGTTAAGACTTGTGTTTTCTGTAGTTATGACATCATAAAAATCATACAAGCCTGATGCTGCACTGATTGCTGTTTAGAAGCCAATTGTAAAGTATTTCAAATATACTATTATTTACTGGAGTTGAATTGTTACTGCATCACTTGTAAATTACATAGACATTGTGAAAGGAGCCACAGCCAGTGGAAGGGGGGTATGCTCAAACATTTTCACTTTGCTGTAGGCCTTAGAAGTGATAAGATTAAGTTTCTGGCTGTGGGTTTGCATATGCTTTGAGCCTGTCAGTTCCTTCTCCTAACCTGGACAGAGGATCAGTGAAATACATGATAAAATACTTCCTTGCCTTGTAGAAGCCTGATTTTCCTCCCTCACAGTTCTATCCCTGAGCTTTCTCTTAGCTTGTATTTTGAACAGGAAAGACACCCAGCAGACAAAGAAATACTCAGCATCTTCTGAGCTTGAGTCTCTGAATACTTTGCTTCTATATTAGCACTTCCACTGCTAAGCTCGGCACCCTTGTAATGAAGGGTTGACCCAGAATTGTAAAACCTGCTTGTCTGAGAGGTGCGAAGATATTTAGGTTGGCCATCCCAGACATAATAAATGCATGCTTTACAAATGTAGTTTTTTCTCCCCACAGAAGAATTCTTAGAACATGCAGTAACATACCAGCAGTTTGTGGACAATCCTGCTATCATTGATGACCCTAACCTTGTGGTTAAAATTGGAAATAAGTAAGTGTATTTCAAGAAAAAAAAAATAGTACTGTTGTAGCAAAAATACTTCTGTGGCATTTCAGTGTGTTAGAGAAATTGAACTGTAGCTGAAAAATAGGCTTTGAATGTTCATAGCTTAGACTCATCCTGAAAGAGTCAACTCTCCAAAGAATTCAGGCCCTGCTAGCTACCTTTCCTCCTTGAAAGTAAAGAGCAGTTTCAGATGACCTGTTATAGCTAATTGATACAATTTGAATTTAAAGAAGCTAGTATTAAATATTAATGGTGTTCACACTCAACTGGCAGAGTAAAAAATGAAATAGGATGTGAACTTCCTAAGGCTTGCCCTGAGCCAGTTTGAGTAATTAATATTTACAGGGATATGGCAGTCTTGCAAGCACTCTTTACCTAGCAGTTTGCATATACTGAATATTTTGCTAATGTGTCTCTATGAAGGTATTGCTTGTCAAACTTCACCCACCAAGTATAAGACTTCTATTTCTACAAGGCTAAGAGATTACTTCATATGTTTATACTGCTGGCAGCAGTGCAGCACTACAGTCTATGCTAGGTGCAGCTTTTTGCATGATGTTTTAACTTGGGAACTCCCTGCATCTGGCATACAATGTTACAGAGTAGAGGAGAGATCATGGCATTTTGTTGCACTTAGAGGTGAGGCTACCCTTAGTCATAGACATCACTCACACAAATCTGACATGCCTGGTACATCCTTATGGGATAGTTTGTATTGCAGGTATGTTACAGCCTTATACCTGACTCTCTCTGTGGTCTGAGGCAAGTCACTTACAGCTTCCTTGACATAGTTCTGTGACTTTGATGGTAGTGTTTACCTGCCTATTGATGTACTGGGGAAGAGAGAGGAGTACTTAATGAGGATATGACTGTCTCATTCTCTGGATGTCATGTGAGCTTCATCTTCTCTAAACAGTATTTTGTCTGTCCTGCTGCCTGTAAAAGTTGACCCATGTTCAGCACATAATAGCAAAAGTTTGACATACGGACTAAAGCCCCTAACATTTATGTAGCTCCTTGATGGAAAAACAGTGTAAACAGTTGTAAAAAAAAAAAAAAAGTGGCTCATGTGAAAGTAAATATAATAAGGCCATAAGGAATGTATGAAAAATACCCTGTCTACATCAGGACATAGCTTTTCTTGCCTACCTTGAAATGTGTATGTCGTAAATACCTGTGAACGTAATGTGGAATGAGGTGGGTCTGCTATTACTGGTGCAGTATTAAGATGGCTGGGCTTAAACCGTGGCACCTGCCAGATGATAAATACTAAGTAGATTGTGAATTGGAATCTTGGGATTACAAAGTGCAGTAATTGTCTCTCTTGCATGCCCAGGTACTACAACTGGACAACAGCCGGTCCCCTTCTGCTGGCAATGCAGGCATTCCAGAAACCTTTGCCAAAGGTGAGATTGAAAATGAAGGTTGATCAGAGGATGACTTATGATATTCTGCCATTTATTAAGGCAGGGAAGAGGGTTGTTGCACAAGAGGATCTATACATCAGTAATACTTATCCACACGCAACCATTCATCTAGTTTTATGCTAGGGGCTGAATAAGCAGGACTCAATTTGATCTGTGATTAGCATTTATTTGCTTGGTTAAGAACTTTACAAATATTTTAAATAAGGAAAACTTCCTGTTTTCCTTCATTAATATGGATTATAAACAGAAATTTTATTGACCCATGTTCATGTTTGCTGTAGCTGAATACCTGATGACTGCTTTCCATTTTATCTGTATAGAGCATATATTATCAAATAAAAATAGAGGCTAGAAATTTTAACCTCAGTGAATAAGCTTTAAATACTAGGTCAAGAAGGCCTGTAGCTTGCTAGTTTTCTATTTTTCAGTTGATTGTTCATAAACAAACTAGGTAGGTAGTGGCAGATAGCTATGACTATGTGGTAGTTATATGTCTTGGCTTGTCTTAAATGCATTCATTAACTTAATTCAGTTCCATGGGACCTGGTGCCACATAGATGCTTAGGACAGAAAGGCACACTGCAATACTACTAAGTAGTATCATCATTGGTACTATTTTATATCCTGGGTAGCAGTGGATTAAATGATGTTTGGGACTCAAACTCTCCTACCATTTCCAGTACTTCACATGTCTTTGGGTTTAATACATGTGAATTCAAATACTATCTCTGTTGAGATGAATGTGGGATAAAAATTTCTTCAAGCTGAGAATACTCTCTACCACTGTGTTCTTTCTTAGTGCCACATCACATATGTATGCATGCATAGCTGCACTGTAGCATCCCAATATAAAATAAACTGATCCTGGATGTCCCAAGCATGTGGTAAACCTGGCTTGAATTTCACAGATGTTAGAGCCACATATTTCATGCTTTACTGCAAATATTCTAATATGCAAATACTTGTCAAAGGTGGAATTCATCCATGGAACTCAAATGCCCACAGAAGGTGTATGGTTATCCTGGTCTGTATTTGTTGGGCATTTCCACAGACCTTGATAGGTGCCTGTGAGATCTCATAAAGATAATGCAAAGTAACTGCATTTTTAATTAAACACTGATGCCCATGCTAGATGTTTTGGGTTTTGCCTAGGATAAAATTGAAAGAATGGAAATTAAATATTTTTCCATTAAGGGAAATGGTAGTTCTTTCAACAGTGTTACGGTTACGCCATCATTCATGTAGGTTATCAGTTAAGAAGTCTATGAGTGTGAAATTCAGTGTGTTAATTTTTTTTTACATAATCAACTTATATGCTGAAGGCTGATAATTTTCTAGAGAGTGCAATTTGAATTCAGTGGACTAGCCAGTATATGTAGTTAGATCAGTCTGTATAATTGGGAAGGTTTAGTTGACTGAACTGTGCCTCTGAAACTGAAATTCCTAATTTATGCTACCATTCATCTTACTGGTTTTCTTAATAACTTGTTACTTACAGTTTTTATTTGCTGTAATAATGGAACTGAGTACTAAGATACTTTATTAAAACAGGCTTTAGGAAGTGGTTGAAAACTTTGCAAAAAACCGTCACTCGTTCTTAATACATTTGAATCCCTAATTATAAGCATGTGAATTATCTCACTAAAAGTCAATAGGACATGTGCTTGAAGTTGTCCATATGTTTAAGGACATTTTTAAATTGTAGCCATTGTTCTCAGCAGTGGCATTCCGTTCTCAGTTGCTCCATCTGCTCCTTACTTTTCTTATTTTGTTTGAAAAGTTTTCAAGTTATTTGCTCACATTGATTCCTCTGTCATTTCCCATGGAAAAAGTGAGAGAAGGGATGCATTGTTCCTTACAGTGGCTAAGCTATTTTTAAGGCATACCAAACACTGTGGCCACCTTTACTGTGGTATAATATTTTCCCATTCACTGTAGTATTTTACCCTTTTGTCTTTTGCTTGCTCTCTGAGTGAAAGAATTCAGCTCTCCTTGTTACAGTGCATAAAGCTCCAGTCATTATGTTTGTTGAAAGACAAAAACCCCTTTTCTTTACTGAGGTGTAGTAGATATAACCAAAGAAAAGTAGCCAGGGTTTAAAAAGAAAACAGTTCTAGCATTGTCAGTCAAATTCATAGCATCATACTGAACTCATAAAAGCTAGTAACTTTTTGCTTATTTCTAAACTGATGATTAAATATGAACTCTAGCTATTTTTAAAAAAACTCTTGCTTGTCGGTTTGTTACTGTTTTGCTTGAGAACTCTTTTGGGAAGTGACATTTTTCTTTTTTTAATTTTTTTTATATAATTTGAACTAAGTAACTTCAACTTTAAAACAGTAGGCTCTTCATTCTAGACATTATACTAATATCTACTTATGCTTTTTTTCTTCTTTGATTTTTATCTCTTTTTCATTTTCCTTTTAAAAATACCATAAGTATTCATGCTTAAGTTACTTCAGAGCAGCTCTGGACACCATTAGATTTTGCTTTAGTAGAATTTATGGTCCACAGACAGTATGTTTATTTCTCTTCTATTTATTATCAGTTAAAATTGTGTGTTTGACACTTTCATTTGCATATATCAGGTTGTCCTTTGTTTTGGTTTTTTTTTTATGTTACCATCCATTTATCACAGGCCACTGTGGAATCTATAATGAGGGACAAGATGCCCAAGAAAGGTGGAAGGTGGTGGTTTTCATGGCGAGGGAGGAACAGTGCTATTAAAGAGGTAAGTTTAAGAAGCAAGCAGTTTCCTTCTGGTTGCAGTGGGAAAGCTGGATACCTCTATATTCATCCCTCAGAACTTTGCTTCTGAGAATAACTCAATATTCAGTTTGACTGAGGATACACATATTAAAAGATGTTTAAGCAAGGTCTAAAGTCTGACTTCTTTTGACTTCAGAAAGTTTTGTCAGACCCTGCTTGAGACATCTGTCTGCAGTACTTTGGTTCTGCATTTATTTTCATTACACAAACTTGAGGCAGTATTATCTAATGGATTAAATATGTGTTTGGAACCTAGAATCCAAGACTGGTGCTGCTCATTTAATGTTTTCATGCAGATTATCTGCCCTTCTGGAGGTTTCTTTAGATAGCTGAAGAACAGACATACTTATGAGTAGTAAGCTGTAAAATTCAGCAAAACCTAAGATGGAAAACTAACAAAAGTCTTTTTAAATTTCTTTTTCTGAGCATTAAAAGTTTGTGGTCTTAAAGCCATGGATGAACATTAAAGAACAGTGGAAAAAACCCAAAGTTTTATATGAAATATTGATCTCCTGTCTAGACATATTTAATCTTTAAAGTTGGCTAATGAAACCTCTTCATATTAATTTATACTAGTAAAGCATTAGTACTTGAGGGGAGAAAATGACATCTAATATGTTTTTATGATTATGCCTCAGTTGAACTTTTTAGCCTTGCGTGAAATAACCATTGTACTGATCTGTGGGTATGGGCTTCAGAGCATGAGATTTTAGTTTTGATAGTTCACTGAAGTTTTTAGAATTTCTCTCTTAATGGAAGTATTTGGTTATCTGTTGAGCAGTGTCAGCTATAAAATGGAAAGGGGTGGTGGTGGTGGCGGTGTTTGTGTGTTTAAAAATCACTGTTTAAAAATCTAGTGAGATGAAATTGGTAGAATTTAGCATCTACTCAGTATAAAATCAGCTTGGAAAGTTTTCTTACGTTAAAAATTTTAATGATTCTGTGAAAGTTAGGTTTTTTTTTTTTCTTCTACAGAGTCATATGTTGCTTTTTCAGATGAAATCTAAGTATTTCAGGTGCATGAACTGTGTAATTAGAGGATTGATACCAGAACTTCAGTAATACTAAATCTATAATCTGGTATTTCTGTACTAATTCCACACAAAACTAAATCGTAATTCTTCTTCTGATTTTAATATTTGCAATTTTTAGTTCTTTGTGCAGCTTTTTTTTTTTTTTTTTAAGAAACCCATGAAGTTTTCTTTGCTTACAAGCAAAGAAACAAACATGCTGTTGATTTTTAGCAGGCCTGTACAAGACAGAACTTGGTTTTCAAGCATTTTTCTAAAAACACATGCTCTCTCCCTAAAAGAAAATTGACAGCTTCTCATGCTGGTATTTTTACAGGAAACAAAGCCAGAGCAAGGTATGAGTGAGAGTGGACTTACAGGAGAAGACTCTTCACAGTTGAGCATGGCAAACAGGTACCCCCGAAAGTATCTGTACTTGAAATGTGCAGGAGTTTCTGTTTAAAAATAAACAATTTATTTGAACAAAGAAATTCTGTGTCAATGAAATACATTTAATTTGTTACTCAATGCACCAGATAAGTGCAGATAGAAAAGCTCTACCCATGGCAGGGTTTCAGACCTTGTGAGTGTTCCCTAGCATTTCTGTGGTTTGGCTGGCAGCTCTGTGACACAAATTCCAATCCCTTGAAAACAAACAGTTATTGGAGCAGTTCGCCAGATCTGTATGTATCTCTCTAGGGATTTCAAGGGAGCATCATAGACAACCCCATGCAGCTGTCGGGTTTCAGTTTCTAAGATTTCTGATATTTTTATGGCCTGACGATTTCATTTGTTTCTGCAATCTTTGGAAGTTCAGGGACCTAAGTCTTTGAAGAGGCTTTTTCAAAGGCAATATTAATGCTTTCTATTGCTTCTTTCAAGGATTACAGAAGTCCCTTCTGTCGCATTCTCCAAATTAGTCATACTGTATAGCCAGAATCTCCCCTTCAGGAGGGTTCTGTAAGATGAGCTTTAACTTGCTTCAGAGGGATGAGTTTGCCAGGGACCACTCTCCTACCTTGCCCTTTCTCGATGCATGCAGATCTTGCTGTAAATACATGCCATATAGATGCCGTCTGCACTTAGAGCTGAAAAGGGCCATATTCAAATATGCTTTATGCTAATGAAGTTCAGGTATCACTTTTACAGAACAAAAAAGCATTAGCTGTCATTCTTCTTGAAGGTCAGCAGTTGCAGTCCAGGTGAATGTGCTGGAAGGAGGATTCCTCATTCTGTAGCAGGCTAGCTGTTATCTCATTTGCCTCTCTGAGTTTGAGAGTGCCATGGAATAAATCAGAAAGACTGATTTTCATTTTAAGGATGACATGTGTCTTTTAGGTCTGTTTCTTACGTGGTTGTTTAAAGATAAACTTTAAAGTAGGATTAAGACTTCAAGCTCAGTAGATTCTGTAATTGGTGTTCTTTGTTTAAACTTTAACTGGCCTTAGAAATCTGACATTAAGAATTTATTGCTTGCAAGCAAAATGTGATATGTAGGTAAAGCTTTTGAGACCTGATGTTACAAAGGATATGACAGGCTTTTAAGTATTGCTTGTCATGGCATGCAGTACCTTGATATTGGATCAAGACTTTGTAACATCTAACAACATCCAGGTGTGAAAGAGGCTAAACGCTAATTGTTTTAAAGATGAGATTTGCAGGACCTGAAAGGATGTTTTACCTTCTGCCTAAAGTGATAGATTTGTTTTTGTAGGAAAACTTTCACTCTGAAGAAAAATGTCCTTAAAAAATTTCTGAAAAATATGGTTGTAGTAGAAAAAAAAATAAATGATATTGATGTGTATTTAAACAGAATTGTGTAAAGGAGCTCAGGTTTTGTGACTTTTCATCATCATATCCTGAATGGGATAATCCTGCAAATCCTGGAAAAGAATAATCCAGTGATCTAAAGTTGCTCATTGAAAGAAGGAATTTGTAACCAAATTTCAATCGCCTTTATTTTTTTAATGAATTGCTAAATTCTCTGGGGGGAGAGAGAAGGCCAGCATAGTGAACTCCTCCTTTTGAAACTGAGGATTTTTTGCAGTTACAGTATCAAATGGGTATTATGTTTTGGTTTATTTTTTTTTTTTTGTACCACTATGAGATTTTTGAGTCAATATGGCACATTAACCTACATCTCTAAAATTTGAACAATGGAAACTAGCTTATAGACAAGTGAATGGCTAGTACAGTCCAAGTATGAATAATGGGGAATATGTGTGAATGGGAATTCAGCACTTCATTGATATATTTAAAGCCATGATGTGAATGACCTCCTGTGAGACAGTACTTAGGAGCAGAGAATCAATGGCTGACTTGGTGACTCACTGTTAATGCATTTTTAATGGATACGGAGATGCATTTACTGACATAACATCATTTTCTGTGTGTGCAATGTTCCAGAATAAAAGATGAATCTTCTTCAAGCGATGAAGACCCTAGAGCTGCCAAACAAAATCTCGGATCATTACAAACCAGCTCAAGTTATCTGTCATTGTCTGGAATCAGTTACAAAAAAACGCTTCGACTCACTTCTGACCAGCTTGTGAGTTAATTTACATCCTTGTCCTGAAATGTCATTTCTAATACAACATGAACAATACTTTTACTCAGGTTTGCAAAGCTTAATTAGCTTATATGTCTTGCATTTAATTTTCTCTCTTGTTATATTTAAAAAAATACCATTTTCCCCTCTCTTCTTCAATATAAGCATCAGTGTTGTACCTTGCAGCAAGTCCTGTGGTTCACAGATTAGGAGACATGGGATCACATTTAGAAAAATGTCAAAATTCTAAAGCATGTCTAAATTTGTCATGTAACAAGTGTACTGGAACTATGTCCTTTTTGTATTATGTATAATATATATTATGTTAACCCAGAGGCCTCTTTTTTCTTTTTTCCTTCTCTCCTTTCCTTTCACTTCTTTCACAGGGAGGCAGTCACATTTTACATAAGTACGTTTTTCTGTTAGTAACTTCTGAAAGAGCTGCTTGTGAATTTACTATGAGAACAGGCTATTAATTTCTTTGGAGCCAGTTCTCTTCCTCTGTGACAGAGGTGTTTTGACTAATGGTGACAAAACTCTTACAGTTTTGTGTTCTGCACATTCCAATTTGATTTGGAAAAATGGGCTACTTGAGGGAAATATTTTCTGTCGTCTTGTCTACAGGCAATTAATTTTCTGAAGGAAACCCACACAAGGTGTACAGTATTAAACAACCCATTGCTCACTGCCTGAATAGTTTGTAAGAAGTGCAGAATTTATCCCAAAAGGCAGATAGGATGTGTTGGTAATTTTCTGTAGCAAACAGAAAACAAGGGTTATACAAATATACTGATTATTTTCAGGTTTGGAAACCTCACAGAAATTACCTGTAGCTAAAATTAGTTTTATATTAGTTCTTAATGAAACAGTGGTTGAGACTCATCAGTTACTCATCATTTGTCCTGCATTTCCACCTCCTTTTCATTTTTAACTGATAGAAAAATTGCAGTGAAATATAAGAAAAAAAGAGACATTTGAAGTATTAAACTTCTGCAGGCTTTATGAAAATGAGTATTTAGGTCCACAAATAGAATAAAATCAGTTGTCTCTTGCCACTAAGTGGCACAGGAGACAGTGGGAGGGAAGGGCAGTGAAGTGGGAGAGTTAAGGGTATTTGGTGGAGTCAGAAGGGTGATGAGTCATATGGTGTAAGTGATGGGTTACTGTAGGAAAGAGATGTGATGTTGTAGGACACAAGTCCCCATATAAACACTCTAAATTAGGGTTTATGGAACTCCTTGTTACACCCATTTCTCTCTGCATATGCGTCCATATCTCAGAACGGAAACCCCGCATAGATAGTCCCTAATCTGTAATTTGTTAATTGGTTGTTTTTTTTTTTTTTGTTTTAATAATAGCCCTGACTGTGAAACAGAATTTTTGTTTTTGTTCTGCTCTGTAAATCGGTACCTAATGTGCACTACACCGGGGAAACCTCTGCTGTCATTAAGACAGTGGCTCTGCTGAAAGCAGTGAGATTCAGTGTGACCAAGAATTCAGTGATCATTTGTGGCTTTGTGTTTGCACTGTGTCAGTTTCACATACTCAGTTTGTTTGTTGATTATCTTGCTGATAATGTCTTGCAGAAAAGTTTAAAGCTTAAGAATGGTCCCAATGATGTGACCTTTAGTGTTACAACACAGTATCAAGGCACTTGCCGCTGCGAAGGCACCATTTACCTGTGGAATTGGGATGATAAAATTGTTATTTCTGACATTGATGGAACAATCACACGGTGAGTTCATGAACAGGGAGAGGCTTTATCTACAAGGACAAGTTTTTCTTTGGACTAACTGAAAAAGTAACAGAATTTTGAGTCACAGAATCATTGTATTCTTGTGTTTGTGTGTTGGGTGTGTGTTTGGTTTTTTCTTGATTTGGCTTTCAAACAGTGCAAGAATCATTAGCTGAATTCTTAATTTAATAAAGATGTGTGTCATATGTGCCCATTATTTGTCACATATTTTTTGATGTTTTGGTGTTTTATGATAGTATTTACACTAGTATTGGAGGACTTTATGCAGAATCAAAAATTTTTTGCTGCATCATATGAAGTACACTGGCTTCTTAATCACTTCATGTTACAATACCATTGCAAATCCATCCTGTGTAGATTTGGTTTATTTAAAAACATTTAATGTAAACCTCAAAAAGTAGGCTTGGTACTGGCACTTGGTACCACGCAGGTGTGATTGGTAGCCTATATGCTGCAACTTCCATATTAACTTGTGGGTCACGAGTTTCATCCATGATGGCAAATCTTGGGGCACGAAAATAATTAAAACAGTATGGTCAAGGATAGGCATGTCAGTTTATCTCAAAAGTAAGGGCAGTAAAATCATCTAATCACAATCAGTACCTTACAGAAAACTGTATCTTCCTTTGCCATTAGACAGATAAGTTAGTGGGGTTTGAATTAACCTTGACTGTTGTTATTAAAAGTACTTTGTTTGGGTGTTTTTTTTTTTTTTCAGTTCAGTTATATTGTTTTTCCTTTATTCAGGTCAGATACTTTAGGTCATATTTTGCCAACTCTTGGCAAAGACTGGACACACCAAGGGATTGCGAAGTTGTATCATAAAGTGAGCCAGTGAGTATTCAGTAAATCCATCCATGCATCTGTGACTTGTGTTTATTCATTTGCACATAAAAGAGAAAATTTCTGTAGGTTTCCCTTAACCTGTAAGAGTGACAATTTCATCAGTATCTCATCACTTCAGTGATGCTTACACAGTGTAAACATCTGCTGTATGATATCCAGAGCAGAACTTGCTTTGTGATATCAAAATCCCCCTATCAATGAGAAGTGACTGATCTTCCAACCATCCCAAACAGATAGCTACAGTTAGTTCCAAAGACTGCAATGCAGTTTCATCAAGTGCAACGTTTTTGTGAACTGTGAGTTGCAGAAGCATTAATATTTAAGATGCTCATACAGCTTCCCTTCTCTCCTTGTTGAGGCGATTTGCAAAATGCATAAGGGCTGTTTAGCCTAGGACCACTGAAGGTGGAGTTCTTGCCAAACTTGGCTTACCTGGAGTCATGCAGGGGTGGAATCTAAAATAAATGGAATGAATCCTTGTGGGGGAGTTCCCTTTCTTTCCAGTGCATCGAAAGGGAGCTTAGTGAAACAGTTTAGGCTTGAGCTGTCTAAACATTAGGCTTCTTGTCAAGCAAGATAAATCTCATCCTTGAAGCACAACACAATGCCTTATCTTGAGTAGAAACAGGCCTATTTTGGATAATCACTGCTTACATTCTTATTTTATTTGTTATATAAATAATGATGAGCTTCAAAGACATTGATGGTGATGTTTACTACTAATGATTATACAATTTATTTTGTAATTTCTGTACACAAATATTTGTTGTTATTCCATTGTTAATTTGCAAAGTTAGAAAGGATCAGTCTTAGTGTCATCGGTTAATTTTGAGAGTGATTAGTAAACATTGCTTAAAGTGCAGTTTAAAGGAATTGAAAGTCAGTAAGATGTGCTGTGAAGAGCCTGAGGAACATGCTTTCACCTGGCAACACCAGTGTGAGCTCCTGTGTTATAGCCCTGTAATTGACTGGTACCTTTTGGTCCACAGTAATACATACCTTTTGTTTTTTCCATTAGCTATTGAAGAAATACTGGGTAACAGTAGATCAGCTGTGCTTTAGGTCAATTAATGTTATTAACAAGGAGAGCATCCTGGAATGGCATATTAAAAAAAAAATCTTGTGGATGAATATGAACAGGAGAAAAATTGTTAAGACTGTACCAACTCTGGGATGACGTGTGGGAATGCTTCTAGGTGAGCAAGGCTAGTGCAAGAGTACAGGTGTACTGTTGTTTCTCTGGATACATTTTGCAATGTAGTCAAGCCATTGTGTATTCTGGAGGACTGAAGACATAGTATGGTGAGTTTTTCAATTAGCAATTGAGAGAAAAAAGGAAATGAGGAGAGAAATTAATTGATGTCTAAATGGGATCAGATGAACTATCTGATTTTAGCTTGTACAAGGAGGATTAATGACTGCTGTCTGTTCAGGTTGATATTTCTGCTTTACACAGAAAATAAAGTTGGTTTTCTTTTCTTACATTAAATTCAGCTGTTATAGTCAAATTACCATAAATGCTTGAAGAGCCTCTAGTACACATCAGAACTGTCCTCATAGTTAATCTGTTTTGTCCTGTGTGCTAGGGTTATGCTAAGGTTCATTTATTGCTTTCTGTTTTACATGGATGATGAATTATAAATTATGCATGATGGAATCTAAATTATACCAGAGACACTTGTCTGTGCTTTTATTCTATATAGACACACATGGTCATAAAAAAGACAGGACAATCTGGGAATTCACATGCTGAGCTGTATTTAGTTATGTGTGTAACCTCTGCATTGCACTTGGTGAAAATGTTAGTATTTTTTATTGCAGTTATTATTTCTGTGCCTGCCAGCATTATAGATTGATAGGGCTTTGGTGATCATAAACACAGGGGAAAAAAATAGATTTGAGTCATGTTTTTCAGATTACCAAATTAATTATGTAGTGTTTAGATGTTACAGCTGGACACTGTATAAGTGTTCAATACTTAAATGTAATGACCATGTGTGCACTAAATGCAGTATTTATTTTAGAACAATAATTTCATTATACAACTTGCAGAGTAAATTGCTGTTAAGTTGAACTAACATCACTGGACTCTGGTCTGTCATGGACAGAGCCAAGAGTAACCTGTGGCTTCTGCTGAAACTTTTCTTTCAGTGTCAAGTTGAAGTTTTCTTCTTATACTGTGTTTTGAAGTTCAGGTTTGTTCTGACTTGAAGAAATACATTACTGCTGCACATAAGCTAGTCTGTTTTTAGTAGAGGCCCAAGATGCAGGAATATACCCTGTTAATCCAGCAAAGGCTAAGATAACAATATCTGCTTTATCCCAAGTGTTTTTCTCTTAGTGGATGTCATTTCGGTTAATTCTAAGGAGTATAGTTCCACAGTGTAGGGCTGAATAGAAAACCATAAGAAGCCATAGCAGTTAGAAGACCAGAGATAAATGGGCCCTCTTTAGGTGTAAATCACTAACTGCAGTAGTGCTAGATGGATTTTAATTATCCAAGTCTCTGGCATAAATGGTTTTATTCCTTTTAAAAAAGTCTAGGTTAAATGTAAGTCCATTAAACAGTCATGATTTGATTCATTCAAAAACAAACCAACAAAATAATTAATGTCTAAACACATGCCTTATTTTTATAGTAATTTTTTCTTTTATTTCTGTTCACAGAAATGGATATAAGTTTTTGTATTGCTCAGCACGTGCTATTGGAATGGCAGGCATGACCCGAGGTTACTTGCACTGGGTCAATGAACGAGGAACTGTTCTGCCTCAGGGGCCAGTGTTGCTGAGCCCAAGCAGCTTATTCTCAGCTCTTCACAGGTAATGCAGTTTTGCTTTCGTGCAGAAGGAAAGGTTGAATTCTCAGCTTTTTTATTTGCTTATTTATTTATTTATTTTTAAATAGTGCTTAAAATCAGTCATAGTGGGTTTTTTTTTCTTACATATTTGTGCAAAATGTAATAAAGAAGAAATTTTGTTTGGTAAAGACCACAATTCAGTTTAGTTTATCTCTTAAGACATGTCTTAATATACATCTGTGTTCACTGTTTGTCAATAGGTACTGCCTGTTGACTTCATGTGTTTAACATGGTGCGTTAATATTTACCTATGGGGAAAACGCAAACGTTTTAATAACATTCACTCTTGACTTGTAAGGTGTTCCAGTTGGCATAAATATTGTTTTGTGGAAGAATATTGGTAATTTTTGAAGAAATTCATGTGAAAATGAAAGGAACTTTTTACTCTCCTGACTGCACTGTGTGGACAATATCTGTCTTTCTAGGTGTGGAACTTTAACAAGTGAATAATAATAGCACAGGTTATGAATAACGTACCTTCTTCCTAATTCAGTGAAGAATGTCAAGTGATTACTGAAAATATTTTCAGCTGTTAAAAGCTGCTGTGACAGGATATATTTCATTAGAATTTTTAATGGAAGGTTGTTCAGGTGTTCTCCTGATTGAGTGACATGCTACAGACTGTCTTACCAGTCATGTTCTAAATATAAGAGACTGGAGGTATTACAGTATGCTGCTTAGACTGATTAAATAATAAATGCAGGGTAGTTACTGTTATGCTCCTTGTATCTAGAAATACATTAAAGTGATACACGTCGTGGTATCTTGGTTAGACTAAAGAAAACCCATTTTTTGGTATACAGTATTGTAGCTGCTGTGATGTCTGGACAATAAATGATTTCATTGTTATCCATAGATTTAATTATTGTGGTTTTGAGACTCTGAGATCAGCTGTATGTGAGACTGAGAAAAGATGGTCTTGTTCCTTTTTCTCACATTCTCAAACTTTGATTTATACATGGAGCTGCTGTTCCAAAGGCCTGTTCTACTCCTATGAAGCTTCTGCACTATTCACATCTTCCTTGACATATGTGTTGGTGCTAGGAAGTGGGATTCTAAGCTGCTTAAGCGCTTTTGTGTCATGCTGGCATCTTCCTATGTTATGGGAACTCCAGACTCTGCCACCTGTTCAGTTTCCTTGCCAAGAGAAGCTGTTGTGGAAGGGCTTTTGCCCAGAGATGAGAACTCCTCTATTCATTAATGAATTCTACATTCTGTAAGGAGCAACTGAAGAGAAATAGAAGATTCAGTTATTCCATAACTTGTTAATTAGCAGTGGTGGAGGACCCTGACTGCAGAAGTGTCTTAACAGGCAGATGAGCTTCTAGCACATATGGTAATGGCAATCCAGTGAAGGCTAATAAAATCTATGAATCATTCTGCAGTTCTCAGGAAGCAGTTTACTTGATGACAATTTGTTTCATAAGGCTTTATTTAGCAGCTCTGTAATCAACCATCCTTGCTCAGCAGTCATCTTTACAACAAAGGTTTAAATAGAAGTTCCCTTGTTTCAGAGGATTTATTTACTGTGCCCATTGCATAAGCTTGGAAATGCTCTTTTGTCTTTGCAGACACTATAATTTCCAAATCAAGATTCATTGGAGAAGGGTGGGGACTCTTCAGGAGTATCTAGCTTGGTGGAAACATTTAATAAAGAAAATAAAATGGTTTGTGCTGTATTTCATGTGTACTTATTGAGCCTCCCTTTTTCTATCATTTCAGGGAGGTTATAGAAAAGAAGCCAGAAAAATTTAAAGTTCAGTGTTTGACAGACATCAAAAATTTGTTTTATCCTAACACAGAACCCTTTTATGCTGCTTTTGGAAACAGACCTGCTGTAAGTAATACCTGAATTTATTTCTATTGCAAAGAACAGAAAGGTTGCTGTTATTTCATGGTTCTGTTGAAGCTAGAAGCTTTAAATGGGAGTTGAGATATTTTATTAGGCTCTGCATGAAGGAAAATACCAAGGTTCTTCCTTAAAAATCTTGCAATGGAGGATGCAACCAGAGATGGAAGAGCAGTAAAGTGACTACATTATGTTTAGTTAGCAGTTAAGCTTGTCTGAAAACACTGATCTCATTTTAATCCATACTGATAGTGTCAGATACATGTGGACAGACAGAACATCTTTCAGACGCGTGTTGGTTGGACTTACACTTCAGACTCTTAAGTATGCTCAAAAGAACTTGCATGTTCTACTGAAATCAAAAGGTTTTACTTTGCATAGAAAGTGAAATGTTTCGCATGGAGAGGGGAAGACAGATCTCCTTTGGCCATTTGCAGGCTGTATAATTAGGCTATAGGCTTTTCTTAGTCCTGTTTTAGCCTCAGAATTATTTTATTTCTACAGAAAAGAAAGTCTCACGGGCTAGGGCAAAGGCAGCAACCTTGGCATGTGATTATCCCTTCTTATAAATTGTTAGCATAATCCAAGAGGCTGTTTTGACACAGGCAGCTAGCAGTCTTCCAGGCAATTCCTGGATATGATTGCTGTGTTAGATTGTGGCACGGATTCTTCACAGTGGATTTTTGATACAGCCATATTGGGGTGTGTGTGTATGTGGAGTTGTGGAGAGTTGTTTTTTTGGTTATGGGGTTTGGGTGGTTTTTTTGAAGGGAGTTGTACAGAGATCTTCATAATATTGTGGAAGTGTCAAGAGATTTTCAAGTCTGACAGTGGGCACTTTCACTGTTCAGTTTACTAGTGTAGATTTCACTATAGGTGCCTAAGGAAGGATAAAGGCTTTGATTCACTGGAAATCTTTGAAAGCAACCTGCTTTCAGAAGGAGATATATAGAAAATCTGCTTCTTCAGATGTTTACAGTTTCATTGGACACCTAAGTTTAGATGCTAACTACATTAGGTAGATGGGTCCCTTATTTGTGTCCAGGAGCTCCACAGAGCACTTAATACTTCAGCTCTGTATTGTCAGGTAATATTTCCTGTTGAAACTGATATGTGGTGTAATAACAAGAAACCTGGTAACACCTTTGTAGTGTTTATGGCCAAGGACCATTGACATACTGTTTGAGTGTATCCACTCTGCTCTGAAAGCTAAACCCAATTAACTGTATGCCTCTGTCCTGGCCATGCCATTAGATCGGGAGAGAATGGTTCTTTATCCTTCGTATTTCATAGTATGATTAGCCAGAGAAGGCTCCAGTTGGTTACATTGTTCTTTAGTTGGTGCAGAGAAATGGGACACATGTGGAGAGTGAAATTTCAATACTCACGGACATTACTGGTGTAACGAGTGCATGGGCTTCCAGGATTCTTGAAATGACTGCTGTTAACTTTTGTTCAGTTATTTTTTTTTCTGGAGCAGTTTTTATAGAGATAAAAATAATCTTTGTATCTTCATTAACGTTCCAGTCTTCCACCACCTCAGCTTTTTAAACCATGCTTTAGATGATGAAAACGGAAGCTTGGTTTTGCTCTGATCTTCTGGGTGTTATTTTCATATTTGCTTTTGTCAAGCTTTTATTCAGACCAGATCAACTTACTCACTGCTTTCCTTAGCAATTTGAATTTCTTAGAAGCATTTCTTACTTCTAACTATACTTCCCAGAGTTGCATCTGCATTACCTGCTGGGGCTCACAGCTCCTATTTTGGCATGTATTCCTTGATTTCTGTTCTTTTCTCTTTGCTCTGACATGGTGTCAATACATGGCACAAATCCAGACTCAGGAGCCAAGAGATGTTTCCAGGAGTTTTAATGTAGACACGGTTGTCATGACTTCCTTTTGTTTGTAAGGACAAGGTCACAAATCGCTGTTTTACGTGTCAGTTATGTTTTAACCTCTGTACATTGTTGCAAGATACTCAGTACAATGCACTCAGGAAATGATATATTCTCTGAAAGCAAAATGAAAGTGCAAATGCTTTTACGCTAAATATCGTTACTTTTTTATTGAATGTTATTTCTGTGTCAAGAGAAGTTACTGAAAAAATGAACATGGTTTTGATCAATAGTTTAAACTGAACTGGCAAACTCCTTACCTAGCTGCAAATTGTTCTGTGAGCATTTGTTATACTGACCTCTTTTGTAACGTAATGGAGAATTACACATACGCAATAACTAGCTAAATTTAGTACCAATACTATGCAAATATGTTCTTCTGTGTAATATATTCCAGCAAGAATAAACCTTATTGTGCAAAGGCAGAGTCATGATTTATTTTTTCTTTTCTGTTTAGGATGTTTATTCATACAAACAGGTGGGAGTTTCTTTAAACAGGATATTTACAGTTAACCCCAAAGGAGAACTTATACAAGAGCATGCAAAGACAAACATCTCATCGTAAGTAATCTCTTATACCTAACACCTTATTGACTAAATTAATGTGCTAACTAATTTATGACTCAAGTTGACCAAAGATGCATTTGATTTTATTAATAACAGATTCCTTAGAAACAAAATATTAAAGTTTTATACAGACTTTCCTCTTTCCTTCAGTTTAACTGAAAGAAAAAAAGTTTTGTCAGAAACACTGACAAAAAAAAATGTAATTTAATGTATTCCATCTACCTTAATCATGTAAAGGAATTATCAGTGTACAGTTTAGTCTGCATAAAAATCATAGAATCATATCACAGAATAGTTTGGGTTGGAGGGGACCCTAAAGATCATCTAGTTCCAACTTGCCTGCCATAGGCAAGGGTGGCCTTAAACATGTCCAGGGATGGGGCATCCACAACTTCTCTGGGCAACCTGTTCCAGTGCCTTCCCACCCTCTTAGTGAAGAATTTTTCTTAATACCTAATCTAAATCTACCCTCTTTCATCTTAAAGCTATTCCCCCTTGTCCAGTTACTACATGTCCTTGTAAATTTTCCCCTCCAGATTTCTTGTAGGACCCCTTTAGGTAGCTAGTTTCCTGAAACTATCTACCTTTTTATGGTCTTTTCAAAATGTCCTTGTTGTGAAGCTCCTATCTGGAAGGGCCTGAAAATCTAAAGATAGGGCTAAGGGCTTCTAGCACAATGCTTATCCACTGTAGTGCCTAACACTAAATGGAACACTACACAGAAATGGTTTTTAGTAATGTTAAATGTGTCCTTAATTGAAGTGGAGCCATACATGTATAAACCAGAAATAACTGACTCAGCAGGGAGCTGCTTGAGCCAAGCTGGATGTAAATGGAGAAGGAAGATATAGAGCAAGATATAGGGCTTGAATAGTTTAGCAGGTGATCTAGGTGGAAAAGGGTATCTGTTTCTTACTAGGTAAGTATTGTTGCTTACAATGAATGGATTTTTTTATCAGAACTGGGAATCCTCTCTGGAAACTAGACAGTGAATTGAGTTCAGTTTTCTTCATTTGAGGAGGGAGACTTGTTCGTGTAAGAGTAGCCATTCCTTAGTGGTTGGGGAATATTCAAAGATCTTAAATGGTTCAGCATTCTTTTTTTTTATTTTCCAGTTATGTGAGACTATGTGAAGTGGTAGATCACATTTTCCCGTTGCTAAAACGAAGCCATTCTTCAGACTTCCCTTGTTCTGATACCTACAGCCAGTTCACCTACTGGAGAGAACCTCCACTGCCTTTTGAAACTCCGGATGAGCATCCACCTTCAACAACCACTTAACCGCATCTCCAAACTGCTGGCCTCAGCTCAAAGAATGAGTTAGCTTGTATTGGAAGGCCATCACTTGGCTTTTGCTGTTGACAGTTCAGCTGGAATCTGTGATGTTGTGAGCACTGTATTTATTTTGCTGTGAGCAAATTTAGAACTGCATTTTTTCACATTTCCAGATGACAAGAGGGAGTCTTACTAGGAACAGGAGTTGTGTTTCTGGCTCTTCATCCAGCTTCTCAAATTGTGCCATACAGTTTCAGTATTTAAGGTCAAATAAAAATGGTGTTGGAGTTGCAGTTAAACATACCAGAAGTTTGTAACATGGTTCTGTATCTTCTCTGTGCAACACTGACGTGATCTTCCATCTCATCAGAACCCCTTCAAGTAAGGGAGCTGAAGGTGTTCACCATTCCTGACATCATCTGGTGACAAGGACTGGGATTACAATCCATATGTCAAAGTTCCTTTCTCTGAAGGAGCAAGTGATTCTTCCTCTTTCCCCTTACTTGACCAACAGCTGTTTGTCTGAGTTAATTACTAGGTCCTCAGCTGTTGTAAATCAGTGTAGCTATCAAAGCCAATTGAGCTGTGTTGATTGATTTATTCCAGCCTGTTGTTTTGACATGGTAACACTTTTCTGAGGAAATAAATCATGTGTAGTCTAAAGAAAAAGCAAATTAAATAAGTTAGCTGGATTCTGGCAGTCTTTCTTAATTTGAGAAGTACCATGCTTCAAGAATAGCTATTGGGATTAAGGTAAGTGTGCAAGTGGAAGATACAGGCTGCTGTACATAGTGTCGATTTTACTGAAGTCAGTGATTTTCAGTAGAGTGTGCTGAGGTTCAAGATCATTACTGAGCCAGGAGCATTGACGATTTTGTCAAAATGGAATAGTTTTATTTGAAACATTATTTTGGCTAAAATGTGAAATTTGATGCTGGTGAATGATGCATCTCAGGTTTTTACTGTATGGAATTTTTTGTTTTACATCATAAATAATGGATACTTTCAGTGCAATTTACTCTCTTCTAAGCTAAGGAAATATTTTTGTGGGTTTTTTTTTTTCCCCTTGTTTGACCAGACACAAGCTGTAGATACTCTTTTTGCTACCTGCTTTTGACAGCCTTAAGACTTTAACTGTGCATGCTAAAAGCAATACTGCAGATCAGTTGATAATGTTTTCCAAATGGTCTGCCTTTACACAATGCGGTACTTTACTTAAAATGTAAACATCAAGTGACCATATGCCAAATGACTCTCAAATGTGCTTGTAGCTGTAAAAAAACTTTCTTTTTTTCCTTTTAAAATATATTTAAAAGTCTGAAACACTGAAAATGGCATCATGGGATACTTTATGTTACATTTCAGTATGGCTAAACAGTGGTTCACAGGCTGTGGTCTCTGCCAGCTTGTCATCTGTGAGGCTATGGTATATGTTTTGCAGCTGCTTTGTAGTGTTTTCAGTTAAGAGTTTAATAATAGGAAGGCGGAATGGTCCAGGAGAGATTTTAAGATGTGATTGTGGTTGGTTAGCACCCAGAAGATTGGCAACAGCTGCTCTGTATCACATTTGTTCTGTTTCAACAAATTCTGGGTTTGCATGTCAAGAGTGATAGCAACGTAGGTAACAATGGAAATTCTGTAATAAGGGTTTTCTATCTTTCAGTGCTGCACTTTATCTGTGATGTCAGGGGCCAATCTGTGATTTCTCTGTGCCTTCAAAAGTAATGGATATAAGTGCAATCCTGTATACAGCTGCAGTGTGCAGTGGTGAGCTCTCTCCAAGTCTTCCTTTCCTCACGAATGTTGCTGCTTCAGGCAGGATGCATGACCACTTTGGAGTTACCAGGATTAGATAAACACGAAGAGGAAGAAATGCATGTTTAACAACCCATACTTGATTATGCCCTCTTGAAAGTTTAAGGAAAATGCAAATATCTTAAAGATGGAAGAAATGTGGTACGGATTTTCTGATAGACAATCAGTAGGGATTGCAGGTTGCCAAACTGGTTGCATCTCTAAATATAGCCACACTAATACTTGTAATTAGTGATTGAATAAGTGGATGAATATATTAACTGCATCATATTTCTATTCAGTTTTAGTGAAGGCCTATTTCAATCCATTCATTATGCAAAATAAAACCAACGCTTCTCTTTGGAGAGAGGCTGTCAGTTCTATGGCAGATAACGTCTGATTTCCTAAGGTACCTATATAGTAGCTTCCACCAGAAAAGATGCTCCGTGAAAGTTCTCCACAATTAAAGCCTGTGATGTATTTATTTATAACTTACTAAATAACTAATCCAGGGTTGTTTGTTGCCGTTAGTATTCCAAACCACATGGCAGTGCAAATGGGTGGTCATTTTAATTCAGTCAGACTTGCAGGCGCGGTGGAGTGCTCGTACAGTAACCCTGAGACGCTGTGGAATCTCTGTCATGGTGTTTTTCAAGACTTGGTTAAACAGAGTTACGGCTGACTTGATCTAGTGTTGGCAATCATCTGCTTCAAGCATGAAGTTGGACTGGATGACCTCCAGGGGTCCCTTCTGACCAACATTTCTGTGATTCTGTGAGGTTAAATGCTTTACTTCTGACATACTGTACACCCCTTGGTATCTGAAAGTTGAAATATAGCTGAACAGTGAAATGAGTGCGTGTTTCTATAATGTTTATAAAATCTGCTCACGGAAAAGACATGAAAATCAAAGTTTTGGCTTGCTATAAACATCACCATGCTTTTTCAGAGAATATAAGACCTTTTGATGTGGTAGTGGAACAAATTTATGCATGGTATTTAAACTGTTTTATTAATTCATGTAGAAGAAAAAGGGATGGTTTAATAAATTCTTACTCTTTCTGTGAAAGAAAAAAAATTCAGCCTTGCTTGCAGTGTAATGCTGGTTTCTGTTACAGAATATTTGGCTAACATAAATACACAGACACATTAAATCACAGTATATTCTATTTATACAATACGCATAAACTAGAATGTGCAGCAGTTAGGAGTAATGTTTATTTTCTTGAAGCTGATGACCATAGTGCTCCAGCTGTGTCATGTGAGGGGAAGAATACCGTACTTGTTGTATTAGCTAGGTTGAAGATAAAATCTTGCTGCTGTAATTTAGGGAGGGAGGAGAAAGAGGTTATTGGGTATTTTTTATTTGTAGACATGATTATTCAAAGCCTATTTATATATAGTATTTATATATGTATACACTACTGCAATGATGAAAATCATTTTAACACCTCATTTTGATCTGCTGAATGCAACAAGGGTAGAAATATGTACTCTAATAAAGGCAAATATAATTTTTTCCCTGACTTCTCTATTTTTCTGCATGCTTTTGGTAATGGCAGAGTGCTCTTGCAGAACTGCTGAAACTCTGTAAAGCATGGCTTTTCTAGCTCCAGTCTCAGTTGCCTGCCTCTTCTCAGGGCTAGCCTGTATTACTTTCAGCACTTGCAAAACTTTTGCTGTTCAGCTACCGCATTTGACCCAAAGCCTTTTCAAGTGGAAAGAGTTTATTGAGGTAACCAGGGCCAGGATCTGGGCTGTGGCTGTTCTGGGGTATGGGAACAGCACCTCGGAGCCAAGAGCAGCCAGACAGGAGCTGGAGCAAATTGGATCAGTCTGGAATCCTACCCCAGCCCAGAACTGTTTTGAATCTTCCTTTTGTCTAATTCTTAGTGTGACCTAAGGACAAAGTAGCCATCTCTTTTGAATGGGAGTGTTGTCATTCATGGCAGTGAGACCCGATAGTTTGGTGGGGTGTTTCTTTTCTATTTTTCTTTCTCCTCCTCTTTGGCATTGCCCATTCTGCTGGTTCATTACCCTTCCCTCCTGGCCCTGAGAACGCAGCGCTGCCTTTTGCTCCCTCTGCAGGGTTTGCTGAGCAAACACTGCAGCGTGGTGATACTGCAAGGCTTGTGTTAGCTGGTATGAAAACAGAGATGTTTGGGGTTGATAAGGCGCAGCGGCAGCTCAAGTTCTGTGTTAAAAATATAAGAGCAGCCGTATTTGGGCAGCCTGCAGTCGCTGCTTCTCCACTATTTTCTGTATGTCTCTGGCTTGTATAAACATTTACACTGGGAGCTCTAGACACAGGCTTTGAAATGAAGGTGCCTTTTTAATTAAAAGTCAGAGAAATGGTGTTTTTGCATCAGCAAACCAAACTTTATACAGACATATTAATTGCTCCTGGAATAGCCCATTAACACTAGAAGTAGAAAAGTCTGAGGGAGCAAGCTGCCTTGGGAGCAAAGACCATAAAGATTTTGGGTTGGGGTTTTTTTGATACCATGGGGATTATTCCCAAAATACAACAGTAAATTTTTCTTTATAAATAAGTAGTTTTCATTCAATATACATTGCACATGCCATAAAGTACCTCAGGACAGTTCATTGCAAGAGGCAGAAGACTGCTGGTGCTAAAGCTGGTGCCTTAAAAATATAACTAATACAACTTTAAACTCTTCTGTGAATGCATGAAAGGGAGAAGCCTGGAGGGAGTTCTTGGTATGGGGCTGTTTTGGGGTTGGTTTCAGCATTGTTTTTTTCTTTTAATGAAAGTCCAACAATGTATGGTGGTGAAGGGGTTATACACACAGAGCCACAACCTCAGGTAGTCCTAAAATGCAGCCCCTCATTTCTGTAACATGTTGGAGATACGTGAAAAAAGGCCTAATTGTAAATGGGAGATGGGAGGCTGGCTGTAAAGAAAACCCAGCAGTGATGTAGAGGAATTAGGGCTGCTGGATGCTTTGGGGCAGAGATCCTCATCAAGACCTTTCCAGCCATTGTGATGTGAGGGACAAAAATAAAAGCAAAATGAGAAATGGGATTTCTAAGAGGAACTAGAGAAAGGGAATAAAACAGAGAAAAGAGCTAAAACACAGCTTCTTGTTTCCAGTACCTAGGTAGTACCAGGTCAAGCACTGAGGTCTGCCTTTTCCCTCTTAAGCGGTCTTGCCTTGTCTCCCATGTGTCTGCTTTGCACAGGAGAGGTGAGAAAGCCGTTTTGGTTTCATTTGCAAAGTGAAAGGATAACATTGACCAAAAGGAAATCTATACCCAAGTGTCCTAGAGGTACTGCTAACAGCAAAACAAAGTTGCAATTACGGCTAAATTTTAAGCTTAGGTAAGGACTAGGGCTTCTTTATTGTTTCATGAACCTGGGAAACAAAGCTCTCAGCTGCAGGATATATGCCTCTATAGTACCATCCTTTCAATAAGGCTTGCTTTGGAAAATAAATATAGACATAATTTATCAGCCTATTTAGATATGTGCTTAAATCACCCCTCCCTGTACTGAAA